GTGGGATGGCGTCTAATGCGATTTGGGTGTGACATAGGAAGGTTAATATCAAGTAATGTATTGAAAGTTGTACAAAAACATCCGTCATGATTATTTCATAGTCATTTACTCCGTAAGGTCCCCGCAAAGTGATCAACACAAAGATATTGTGCCGCGGCAGGGGTCCCTGGACGAATATGTGTTTACAAACTTAGGCATTAGTGATGAGTACAGAATAGAGGGTACAGATTCATATAACCAAAAAGGCATGTACAAGTAAATCAAAATGTGGTGCTTTTGCTGTCGCCAGTGACTTCCACCCAATAATGGCAACCACTCAAGCCACGCGTTTGGTCATTGATTCCACTTGACTGTGGCTTGGCGGCGAGCGAGCCAGCGAGAAGGCTCCCCGAAATCGATCGATATCGATATGACGTCATAACAACCATTAGGGGGCTGAAAGGATTGAATAAGGAGGACGAGAAGTGTGGGGAGCACAAATACGTGATGATTCAGTAGAGATGGGGTCGGGATATATTCGGCTTACATACGTACAGTAGTGGTTGTGTTCGGTGAAAAATGGAAATGAATTACTTCATACCAAACGGAATGTAGCCGTTCGCATTAGGAAATAAGGATACAAGGACTCCGCTGTTTTATCTGATTGCTACCGATGTTATTCGGGTGTCGTTGCCGGGGATAGACATTCGGATTATTGTCCAGCGAATGATAATGGTGTGATCTGCTGCTGCGCTTTGAGAATTATGGAGAAGATTATTATGGGGTACTAAGGATTTACCTACTTCCAGAAGCACGTACTCCGTACTGTATCAGAGTACTGTATAAGTATTTGTACCTCATGCTCTGTACTCAGTACGGGGTACGTTATATGTTGTACAGGGGGCTGATGGAGAATGCGTATAAAGAACACATAATTGAACTTATATAGTGTCAGTGCTCTGGTATAGTACTTGTACAGCTGTACTTCCGTTTCAAATACGGACTTCTGATTGGCGGATACTTGTGCCGACGCCTCGTGTGAGTGTATTGCATTGGTAATGGAGGTACATGAAAAATTCATATCGACAGTTCATTGACCCGACAATGTGGACTGAAGCTTTGTTTTTATCGGATGATTATGTCTTTACGTCACCGTGATTGTGATCATAGTTGTTGTATGTGGGGATCTTCTATACAGAGTACAGGCACCTCTACTCTTTTTTAGAGCGCTGGCGTTAGTCTCGTACTTTGGACGGATAGGTCCCTTTGATTCCGGCTACCTGGACGTTGAAAATAAGCTTGTTTTAGCTGCTGGGCGGCAGCAACTCTACTTGCGCGTTGGACGTATATAAAATGAGTTATATGGAGGATTTTGTATACAGTGCAGAATAGATAGGACACCCCTTTATCCCAAGGATATGACTTTTGATGTAGACTCCCAAGGGATAATGGCATACCACCACGGCTGAACCATCTGGGGTAAGGGATGCTCGTATTACATCGACATTGTGCAAAAGGTTGGTTGGTTGACCTATCATCTGTCTGAGAAGTCATGCGCAAATAGCTGGGATGAAACCGAATGAACCGATCGGGCTGAATCAGTTACAGATATTATTGTGTGGTTTTGGACCCGTGTGCAGTCAGTTGATCTTTGCAGTTACCCTTTAGAGAGAAAGAGATAAAGAGAACCCAGGATAGGGTAGGGCACCGGGGACGGAGGACTCCGTCCCAGAAGTAGTGGGTTGTGTAGAGTGTAGTCGTCGTGCGCTGGATTCATCATCCGGGAAACGATTATTGGTTGTTCTTAGAATAGTTGATATCAATGCGTTCATTGGGTTCGTTGGGTTCGTTGTATCCGTGGATCACACAATTCTATATGAATTATGCCGTCTAGGTCTATATCGCATCGTCAGTATGCCCTACAGCAGAAGTACAGTTACAGTACTCTGTATTATGTACATGCGATATCAAATTTTGGGGGGGTGTACTGTCAAAGGCCCGTGCGAGCGGCTCAACGGCAGGAAAGTGTAGCTACTCCGTACTAGACGATCGCATTGATAAGACTATCTCAGTAGCAGCACTCTATGCGGGCGAGACCATCTGTATGTAACGTATGTATCGTTTACTCCGTACTCGTACGGCCCAAGCAACCACCAATAACAGTGTTTGGCGGCACCGGTCCTTTACCCTCTCTGGGTCCAACCCACTAATCCTAGAACTGTCTAAAGGCCAATGATAGAGCTCCAAAAATGGGAGAAAGCAAATGATCAGTCTCTCACTGGAAAATATGTATCAAAATTAGCAGGTATGAGGTAATTGCGTGGCCTTTTTTCTTCTATAGGTAAATTAAGAGAAAATAAGAAAATATAGGCCGTTGAGAGGTACTACTCGGCCCACGTCATCGCCTTTTTTTTTTTTTTTTGGTAAGTGTACTGTAACTACTTATCGGGCTTATGTAACCCACCTGCCGCAATGGTCGTGCATAGTCCGTAATAATAATAATATTATTATGTTTTCTGGGTTTGCTTCGTTCGTTCCATAACTTCCTCAACCTTCTTTCCGTTCTGTTCTGTGGATTTGGGCCTTAATTGAATTTTCATCAACCCACTTATAACAATCCCCAGTGACGTTTTCCATTTTTCTGTGGCCCTAGCTCCCTGGACTCTCTTATTGGGGGCAATTCTACCGTTGGCTCCGTCATCTATCTTTATCATCCATCAGTCTTTTTTCTTCGCTGTTCTCTTCCCGCCTCTCACATCGTTTTGTTTTTCTTTACTGTTTGTCATTCTATATCATTTATACCATTTATAACCTGCCATATCCCTTGTATCTTCTGTCGCCATACTCGTCTTTTCTTACCTTTGCTCCATTTGGATCTACTTAAAAGACAAAAGGGGCCTTTTACCGCGTTTCTTCTATACTCCCACATTGAGCCCCATACTATCAGACACCGGATGTCATCAACATTCTCTACTCAACTTTTTTCATCTTTCCTTGTTTAATCTGATTATTGTTGGCATCATTGCTTGATGATGTTCCGCAACAGGTAAGTCGTGTGCATTCGCCTGGAGACAGTTTCGCTGTAGTATGGAATACTGATGGCCTCTACTCTCCCACAGAAACAACTCTCAGAAGAAGCCAGACAACGAACTCATTCAGAAATTTCAAAGAGCCTTCTCTGATGTGATACCTGGGGCTGCGCAATCGCAAGAAGACAATGGCTCTGTCGGAGATGCTGCTGAGCTCGTAGATCGTACGAGGTATATAACTCATAACCCCCCTCCCCCACGCCTTGGATACTTGAACCTTTCAAATTCAGATTCTAACCGAGGTCAATGTCTAAAAGCAGACTCCATGTACCCAACAACGACGCTAAAACGATCGATACACAAGAACTTCCTCGCGTGGACCCATTCACTTCTCTCGTCGACCCGAATGCCCTTTCCTTGTTGTCCTTCGCCCACCAACCGAACGGTCTCTTGACTCCCAACCTTGGCGGCTTCAACCCCGCGTTCCACAGCCAACATGCCGGCGACTTGCACACCCCCAGCATGGGATTGGACATGATGAATTCGCTCTCGCAGGTGGTGGCCCCCATGGATCAAGATGCAACAGGCATGAGCCTCGACCAGTTTGGTCAACCGCTCTTCTCAAACTCGAACCCCTTTCAAAACCAACAACCTTTCGCCCAGCAGCCGACATTTGCCCCGCCAAGTGTGCTCGTACATCGTGATTCGGGATATGACGCCGCCATGGATGAATCAATCGAGAACTCGTCGCTCAATGATTTTGATATGCAGGCGAATTCACCGGTGAAATTGTCGCAGATGCCAGAGCAACCTAACATGCTTGCAGATCAAAAGTAAGTTCCACTCGCCTTCTGACATCTTGTCAGTATCCTAACACTTCTCCAAGCAGATTCCGATACAATGTGACGTTGCGCGCTCCGACTGCCATGATCAAAAGCCCGGGAGATATTCCAATCACGTATTTGAACAAAGGCCAAGCGTATGGCCTATCCATAGTCGATTCGAGCCCCCCTCCCATGAGCACAAAGCCGGTTCAATACCGAACATTCGTTCGGGTGTCGTTCCAAGAGGAAGAACAACGGGCAAAACCGGCTGCATGCTGGCAACTGTGGAAGGAGGGTAGAGGTTCGAGCGAGGCGCATCAGCGCGGCGGCAAGCTTCAAGCAGTCGAGTACGTTGATCCGTTCCAGGGTGGAGACGAGGACCGGAAAGGTCGCCAGGTTCAGATCGAAAGCACTTCGTTCGATGGTTTCTGCGTCACATGGACCGCGAACCCCGCCACAGCGACATCCGATTGTACGATTCCTGTTCGGTTCAACTTCCTCTCCACGGATTTCAGTCATTCCAAGGGTGTCAAGGGCATTCCTGTTCGGCTGTGCGCGAAGACTCAATTGATATCTGACGACGGAGCCGGGCAGGAGCACGAAGTGAGCTATTGTCAAGTTAAGCTTTTCCGTGATCACGGCGCTGAACGTAAGCTATCGAACGACGTGGCCCATGTGAAGAAGACAATCGAAAAGCTCCGGCAACAGACTGCTCAAGCAGAAATTGGCGCCGGCAACAACGGGAAACGGAAGCGCGTCAATGGCTCTGTTGCTGTCAATGGCGGGGATTATCGTCCCCCGAAGATCACGAAACACAGACGGACATGGTCGATGGATTCACGGGATGGTACCGAGAGGATTTCTCTGGAGGATGATCTGCATGCCAAGCTGGCGGCAATGCAGGAGATGTTCACCTCGACCAGACCTGTCAGTAGCCTTAATTTGCAAGGAGAGGACCAGGACGATCCGGATATGTTCCCGGTCCAACTTCCGGGTAGCACTCATTCCGGTAAGAAACCGGAACTCAGCATTCGGGGAACTCGGTCGAGCTTTGACGGTGTGCTGTCGCCTGCGACGAGTAACCTCTCAAACTCTCCACGCGCAGTCTGGAATCAAATTCCCGGACAATTCCAGTATGACTCGGCATATCAGGGTTCCATGGGTAGCTCCCGGGGTAGCTCTCTTCCTACCTCTGAGATCTCGTTGTCCCGGCCTGTCAAGGTTCAAAAGATCTCGACAGATCCCAATGTTTCGACGGGTTATATCGAAGCAATGGACATCGATCCAACCTACCGGCCGCCAGCGGAGCGTCCATCCAAGCCAAGTAAGTTTTGAACTGACAATTGCAAATTTTCATGGCAAATACTAACCAGTTAATCAGTCGCATGTTTCTATCTGCGTTTCTCGCACAATGGAGCACCACATGACGACTTCTATCGTGCTATCTATTTGAGCGAGCGGACCGTTAGTGATTTGATAGAGAAGATTTCGCACAAGCAGAACATCGATCCAAGTCGCGTTGTACACGTCCTCCACATCAAAGAAAACGATTTGAAGATCATGGTAGACGACGAAGTCGTTCGCGTACTCCCGGATGGTCAAGATATGGATGTCGAAATCTCCGAAGTTTCCGACGCATCATACAGCAGCGAACAGCCTCCGATCGCGTTGAAGCTGAGATATTAAAGAGCACTTCTGTCTGACTGACGCAACCGTGTGTTTGTCCTACGGGATTGCACCCCGCAATTATTTTCGCCTTTCGAATTAATCATACACGTTTCCATACCTTTTTTTGTTCCCTGACTCGCCTCGGGTGTTCTGGACGACTGAGAAGTTTACGAAAAATTCGATCGTTTCCCGTGATGTGACGCCTGGTGCGTGGCACGGAAGTAATGACATTGCACTGGGACGGCTTTTTCAGATTCCCCCCCCCCCCCAGCTTTTTCGGGGGTTTTTCTTTTTTTATGAATGCTTTTTGAGCGAGTTTTTCAGGGCGTTAAGGGCGGAGATGATATACGAGTCTTCGTGAAAAGAACAGTTTGCTTCTATTGTTTGATTTCCTTTTATCGCTTTGATGGTGTTTGAAGCGAAACAATCGTTTCTATCCAACGATAGCACATGGATCGTTGGAGTTGCCTTGCTTTCTCCCCTTTCTTTTCGATTCTGTCGAGTGTCTCTATAGACGAGAGCTCTCGTTTTCCTTTCACATTATCGCATTTTACTTCTCATTATGTCACCCTTGAGGATTTGTTCAGGGACGATACACACGAAATAGATACCCTAGTGGCTATGTTGTTTACTATTTTCCTTTCGGTCCTTTGATCTATGAGCGCAGATAAGGAATATACGTCCGGCTCACTGAAATATTTAAAAACATTCCGAATTCCTGATTCATTAGGCCTGTGTTTGAGAAATGTTGATTGAGCTTGTGTTGACTTCAAAGTTGTTTTCATCTTGTTAAGAGTGACTAGTCTGAATGAAGTTATGATATCATTTCACACTGCTATTTCTGTATATGCGGAGAAGAATTCCGATGGTCCGATCCATAGTTTGCAAAGCAATCTTGAGAGGAACCTGCCAGATCGAAACGCCTGCATTCGCAATCCTATTCCTCTTCTGTTCCTGCTGCTTCGACCTTTACTGGTTTTGCACGTCACAGATCCCACCAATGGTCTTAGTGCTAGAGAAGCCGCGCTTCTTATTGCTCACGATGCATGAAAGGTCCCTGTCCCTAGTTTTAAGGTCGAAGGAAAAGCGAAAAGGTCAACCAGCTAACTACTCGAGTCCATTCGCGCAGTTATTGTAGCTGGAGTAGCTTCATCCCAGTCACAGAAAAAGCAGACCATGACTATCTGGTTGCTCAACTTTATCCGTGATGATGGTACCTTCAGTATTCACTTCGAGATACTCTGTATAGCGTACTATTCTATCATCACTGCCCCGTATTTGTGTCTTACAGACTGACATCATTGGATATCAAAACCACATCAGTAGATGATATTATATTTTCAGGCAATAACTTATGCCTGGGGTATATGGTTAACTTAACGTGATCGGTAAGCGAGATGCGTATGTAAACGAGCTGTATATCTATCTACCTATTTTCTACTTTAGGCCTATTTTTATCAAAAAAGCCTTCAGATAAATCAAACTATCTAACTGGACAATTATTTGACCAATGCCCTATATCACTATACTTTCCACATGTCGGTAGACGCCGTCGCGCTGGTGTTGGAGCTGGAGGCTCTTGGATAGGCTCAGAGGCTTGTATAAACCCCTGAGCTCTCTGTACTGATATACCTTCCTCATAGAATATATGCCTATCTATAAAAGCGTGCTTTTGCTTCTGTACTGCGATTGTAGCGCGTAGTCACCTGGTTCTGTTGCTCAAGTAATATATCTTCCATGTGTATGACTATTTTTGGTGGAATAAGTAATTCCTGAAGCTACTGAAGGCTGATTTCATCTGCTGTCCACCCATTTGCACTTACTTCAAAGAGCTAGTTTCCCGGAAGGCCATCAAGTTAAGCTTCGTTGTATGATTTGCCTTTAGAGATGATCACTGGTGGAAATGCCCACTAGCCACTGTTGGAATATAGAGGTTCCTTACCGAACAATACCAACTGATGCCTGATTAATGCCTCGCTGATATCATATGGCGCAAGCAGCTTATTTACTCTGCCATTACTGCCTTTGAAACTGCACAATCGCTTAGTATACTCTATAAGGTAGTCAACAGTCTTATATAGGATCCTAGATAGCACCCTTTCGCAAGAATCAGAGGCCTCAACCATATACGCTCGATACGTACTTTCGACCATGACTAAGCTGTGATTCCGACAGCCATATCAGCCTCACGTGACTATGCGGGGAGCTAAAGCAGAATCATTGGATAGTAGGCTGCGATGGAAATGCAGGAAGGAACAAGGATCAAGTTGATATTCCATGAAGGAATCACGTGACCCCTACCATTTATATACCGAAAGAATGGTATACAGATGGTATACGCTACCACATCTCCCACCACAAGATGGTATACGAAATGGTAGGAAGCGAAGGGTATATAAGGACACTCATTCATGTATTTAGTTTAGATCTTCGCGATCAATTCTAGTTAATCAAGCATTGGTTACCTTCTAGTTTCTGACTCGTCCGCACTTAACCAACAACCCAGTATACGTACTCGGTTGGCCTTGTTTCCCTATTCGTTACCTTTACCGTTTTTAATTGTTTATTATTTACAAAGCCTGGAGGGCGCGATATACCCATCGACACATACGACTTATTGAACCGGACCCGGAGGGGCATTGAGCACACGATTACTTGGAAGACACTTAGGGTAAGTGTCCTGTCTCGAAACACAACTAACTAGAACCCTAGGTACGATACGAGAGAAGCCAGGTTGTGACACATTGATTGACTCAATCACGGTTACCCACTCCTGGTTCCTGGCTGTAAAACTGATCTCTGACATTAGTATTCTGCTCAGGGATCACCTTTGCAGTTACAGTAAGGCCCATTACAGAGCCAGTCTCACCAAAATTATAGATATTCTCCAATAGGATACCATGCTCAGTCATCATCTGCTGAATGGTGTTACAACCTCTCCTGAATAATCCTTGGGTCCTCCTGTTTTGTTCGCTTGTAGCCATATATTTTGTGAAAAGCAAGATTTGAGCTCTGGATGGCACTGGGTAAAGTTATAGGCCCATTCTTCTTCGCCAACAGTCTGGATAGTAGTAGAGCCACGCTTTGTGAGTAGAAGATTCGCCATTTCTTGTACAGTAGCGGACCTAGGTGCTGCTTTACGTAGGCTCATTGGTAGTACCCATTGCTTAAGCAATCCCTCTTCAGTTTGGGCCAGTTTACAGCTGTTGGTGCGAGGTTCAACGCAATGTAGAACCGCATAGTTGTGTTCAGAGGGTAGATTCAGGCATGTTAAAGCGGCGCACTATCTCGCGTATAGAGTTGATTGCTTTGTTTTTAATAGCCTGTGCAGCTAATGGAAGGCGACCCTCTTGCTCAATACATTTTCGGCCTGTTTGAGGGTGATCTGGTGGAATGGTGCTCGGTAGAAGATAGAAGAGAGGTATGGGGTGCGAAGAAGTGGGTGGGTGCGCTGCTCGCTTATCGATTACGTGAATTGAGGGGAGAAGTCTAGCCTTGTCTACTTCGTATCTTGCAAAACCATCCTCGCCTCTCAAATTGAACCAAAGGCTAAACAGAGAAAAAAAAACCCCCAATATCTTCGCCTTCCCACTCCCCATCCTCCAGAAAATCTACGCAGAATGCCTAGGCTTCGAACAGTTCGACTTATGCAACTTCAACAGCGTAAAGGACCTAGCCCCTGTAGGCGAATGGTCCGGTCGCCAGCACCGTTTCAACAAACCACCACTGGATACACTCCAGTGCTATTATTGTGGCTTTAGATCTTGTTTCCGGTGCAAGCAACGCTTGGCGAACCAGTTGTTCTATGTTCCCATGGGGGTGTCTGAGGATGCACAGTCGACTTTCTATTCTAGGAATAGGTTCTCCGTATATAATGATAGGTATTATAGGCTTTTGCTGCTGAGATATATTGCACCTATGGCGTTGAGGGCTTTGAGGACGATCCGGATTGGGGCGGAGCCTGGAAGAGAGCACAGTGAGTATATCTTCAGCGTGTATCAAAAATAGGAAATGCAGTGCAATTCGAATTACATCGACCAGGTTCGTGAGGAAGAACAAACCAAGAAGCAAGAGGTCCTGCCTGATTGGCTTGGTTTCTGCTCGAGACTAGCTGCACTTGTGAAGCCAGATCAGCTGGAGCTTAGCGTTTTTGGCAGTTTCTTTGATGTCGATACGACGCGAAGACTTTTGAACACCTTGCTTGAACAGCCGCGCTTGAGGAACTGCTCTATTTACACTGGACTTGTCCATGATAAAGAGTTACAATTTCTCGTCTAGGATATCGTCAAAAGGACCACCACGCGACAAAAAGGCCACAACAAGGATACGATCCAATCCCCATCCACCAAGCTTCCAGATGAGATCCAACTCCGAATCCTAAAGTAGACGGACCTAATAGCGCCCGATGTCCTTACCTGGATAACCCCCCAAATGGGCTTCATCCCCCGAAGAAAATGCGCGAGAAGCCATTACTGCCCCTCAGCCCACGTCGCCTATGCTTCATTTCACTTCTGCTGGCAAACGCCAACGGCACTATTCCAAGTCAACCGCCAGATCTGACAACAAGCATTATTTGTCTTCTACCTGTGGAATCGATTCTCCCTGAAACTGAGCCATCCATGGTATGATCTCGACTATAATTTGCTGCCCCCCGCAACTTCAAAAAGAACCTGTTGTACCTCCTAACCCGGTCTCGGAATACAGCCTCGAATATCTCCAGCATCTCAAATGGTATGTCGTCTATCTCGAGATCGACTCCCTCCTTACAGGCGGGAAAAATCGCAGTTTCTCGCTTGAGGCGCTGGACTTTCTTGCTCAATATACGTCCTCGCACCAATTAACCCTCAATATATGTCGCTCGAAGAATATCAGCAGACATTCTCCTTTATTCTACCAGGGGACCCTGGTAACAAGGATCCCACAAAGGAGAAATGGGAGTGTTACTGGGACATAATCGAGCCTGTGGCGGCTAGGTTACGGGGACTAAAGAATTTCTTCTTGAGACTTTCTTGGCCAGTGCAGACTACCAAGATGAAGGCAAGGGATGCGATGGAGGTGGGGCTGGGGAGGGGGGTCATGAGGGATGGATACGATATTCTCAAAAGGGGAAAGACGTTGACGAATTCGGTTTGATGCGTGACGCGTGGGTCGTTGATCTATAGGATGGTCGACTGTATACATGCAGTGTTATTGTTCCTGGTCTGAAGGATCACGGGATTCGATAGGTTTATATTCATATCTTCTGATTCGTTCGAATATTAAAAATAGTAAACACCAATATATTTATAGCATCCAAGGACAAACTGATCACAACCTGTTCTAGTTACGCTTGACCTTGACTAAGCGTAGGGAATGACCCTGGACGCAAGTTGAACATAAAAAAAAACAACCGTATTATTGCATATAATGTGTCTGGTCTAACTGCTGCAAATCGTAGAACACATGTAGAAGCTTTCCCATCGAAATCACACCACATTATTAGTTATTACACATGCTGAAAAGTACCCGTTAACTCCTAATGAAACCTCATAAGTCCCCGATGCTCCGTAACACGAGTGAGGCCCTCTAACCGGTAACAGTGTCGTGATGGTCTAGAAAAACAGGATGCTCAAGAGTGTCAGCAATGCCACTATAACAGTGCGTGCTCCCGTAGGATGGAAAGCAGCATCCGATTTGGAAGGTTCAGTAGTTGAAGCTGAGTCGGGGGCTGTCGCCGTCGCAGCGTCTCCAGTCGTCTTCGAGCTGGTGGATCCAGAAGCGGAATGAGTAACTCGCGAAGAGATAGAAGTAGAAAAACCAGATGAAGCCGACGACGAGATAGAAGAAAAGGCAGATGAAGTCACTGTATCGCTGGACGTAATCGGAGCCACTGGAATGGTGCTTGTCAAACTGGAAGCCAGAGTGCTGGACGGGGCAATGGTAGTGGACAAGGTAGCCGTGCTAGACGGGACGACATCACTAGCCGGCACGGAGGTGCTGAATGAGACAGAGGTGCCAGGCGGGATAACAGTGTCAGACGAGACAATGGAACTAGACGAAGTGGAAATCCCAGGCACGTTATCAAAGGCACTGGAGGTCTGTGACGCTCCAGGCTCGTGTCCGCAAACAGTCTCAGTAACAGTCACGACATTCGCGTCTAGTATAAGATCAGCATCTATACTGCCAATTGGGAAGGAGGAATACGAGGGATGACATACCACCACGGGGAAAGAGCTGGTATCTGGCCAGGGTGGGGGGTTCGTGCTCTGCTCAAGAGGGAAGGTGGTTAGTCTCGCATGTCAATGGTGTTGACCAGCAGAGGGACATTGATACTCACCAGCGAGAAGCTTCAACAGAGAGCGTTCATCTTCCGCATTGTACATGCTTCCCACAGTTCCTATCGATATCAGTTGGACGAATCAGTGGCGTTGGAGATGGAATACTTACCACGAGCCAACCCAGAGACGGCCAGGAAAAACACAAGCATGACGACCAAGAGGTTGATACGGGGAACCATGGTTACTCGAAGAAGTGAACTCAGGTAATATTTAGATCAGGAAGGGGCTCTGAAGGCAATTAGAAGGAAGGAAAGTGATGGACGATGGAAAGAGTGATGAAGAGGGTGAAGAAGGAGGATGGAGGAGAAAAGAGAAAAGGAAGGAGGGTAGTAGGGAGGGGAATATATAGGCCGCTCTGGCCGGCAGAAATCAATTGGGAAGGCGTGACCCAGGCCAGGAAAAACCCGAATCGGGCCGTTACACCAAGGCGTCCCAATTGGGAAGGCACGTGTCAAATCGAGTTCGTCTTGCGAGACACTCGTCTTTTATTCCTGGCTCGAGGTTTCTTCTGTAATGACTTGGTATGTGAGACAGCGGGGTCCAGATCTTTATCATCATGTAATTGGTATTCCTTGAATCGTAAATTGACTATCATGGGTATCTCCATCATAAGCAAAACATAATCATCTGTCCCATATAAACACTCATTCCTTTAGTTGTAGTCTGTCCAGCTTCTGAATCGTATTAGTCTCGTCCGACCAGACCCGCTCTGTAATGCCATTGAAGGCCACTGGCAGTATCGAAAGTCTTCATGCGCTCAGGGCCAAGTGGCAGTCACCTGGAGATATCTAACGAAGCATTTTGGGGTCTACCATTGGTAACTAGTGAACTGACAACCCTGTGATCTCCATTTCCTCAGAATCATCACCAATAGTTTCGATTTCCTTGGCCATTGCACAGATCCGACATCCATCCCCAACCCGGTCCCTGAGTAGTCGAGCGGTCGTCACCTTGGGACCGACTGTGCGGGATGCGGACAATGACGTTTCATCAAACGTTGGCGTACGCGGGAATGGCACAGGTGTATGAGTTCCCGAGGAATTATCATCCGTGCCCGGAGCAGGCTCTGGATGGACGTGTGATAGATGGAATATATGACCGCAGGCGAAGCCGACAAGGATCTCTTGTTCTGCAATTCAGGATAAGCATTGACCAATCAATACACGGTAGGCTCTTTTCTTACCGTTAGGGTGAAAGGGAGATTGACAACCAGCACACCGGCCTGCGGAGGATTTGGACGGTTTCGCGGACTTTACGGTTTCAGCAACACTCTTCGAGTCATCTTGGGCATTCACATCCTCTTTCTCCTCGTCTTCGACTATGTTGAACTTGATTCCTCGTTTCTGGCCTTTCCGCAATTGATCCATCCCTACCGCAACCTCACTCTGAAGGACTTTCGCGGCACCTTGACTGATACTCGCTTGGAGATCATGTTCGCGGATCATACGAGTGAGACCCTCCCGTAAGCCTTCGATCTCCAGACCACTAGGGATGCGCCTAACGAGCTTGATTGGGTCGATCGCGGTCCCTGCCTCGACAAGCAATCCGTGGATGAAACGGGGTTTGTCCATCGAATAGTCGAGAAGATCTTCCCAGAGGTCTGGGTCGTCTTGTGATTTGGCAAACGATATGGCTTTCGAGACATCCTTCAGATCCGAAAGTATGAGGTTCAATGCCCGTTTGGTTTGGCCCATTTTCGATAGCAGGTAGATAAGCTCTGGGGTATAGCGACGGGTTTCGCATATGGAACTTGCCATCTCAAAAGAGTAAGCAGTGCTGGTCTGTAGGAATTCCATCAACAATGGTCTATCGTAGTCAGCGAACAGCTCTACAGCCGTGTCCGCAAAGTGATCAATCAATGCTTTGCCTTCATCGGCTGCCAATTTACTCGCTGCATCCCGTACACGAGCTCCACGGCCCCTACGAGGCTTTGTGGCCTCGTGGGGAAGCGACTCTCCCCGCCAGAGAGCCCGCAAGTAGAAATAAAGATAGAGCAAGCGATTCTTAGCTTGCAGCTGGGCGACCACTGTCTCTGGACGAACGATGCCCGTGTACGCTTCGCTGACGAGAACTTTTATAGGCTCTGCCGTTGCTTCTTCAAGCTCAGGAATGGGTGCCGATTTCAACTGTTCTCTGGTTACGCGGATCAAGATAAAGGCCGGAATATCATCAGAAACAGCATCCAGAAGACGGTGCTCTCTAATTAACGACATCACCGTATCTGCATCTTGAAGGCGGATGTAGCAGCGCAATGCTTCATGATAATGACCTCCCACCAAGTAAAGCTTAGCAAGGCATTTCATAAGAGTACGCCAATCTTCAGAATCTGGAACTGTAGAGTCAGATTGCAGTTGCTTCTCTATGGCCTTCCCCACGTTGTTGGCATCGAAAAGGTCTGATGGCCATGCATCGACGAGTTCCTCCAGTCTGCGTCGGTCTTGTGGAACATAATGCAAAAGAATGGTGTCATAAATGGCTGACGATAGTGGTGGATGCAGATGAGTAGGGATATATGAAGATATCTCATCGAGCTTTCTGTTGTCTATAAATCTCCAAGCCCAATGCTCCCATCTAGGAGCAGTAATGATCACTTTAGCAGAGATCTCAGCAGCCTCGGCCCACTTCTCTTCCTTGACAAGCTGTTCAACCCATAACTCGCCAATCCGGCGCTTCTCCTGGTCAGCTGCAGAGTTCACTGCTCGGCCCGTCGTCGTAATCGATGACCGGTCGTCGGCAAAGAAATCACCAAGGCTGCTCTGCTTCGTTGGGGTTTCAGAGATGTTATCATTGAGTTGACTCGCAGACCCAGCTGCTTCTGGATGCTCATCGACAAGTTTCCAGGCTTCCTCGTATTTCCCACGTGCATCTAACCACGCCAGACGATCTGTGAGATCTCTCTTCAGAGAAACGACGCAATCGAAGGGACTATGAATGAAAATTCGCGATCCAATAGCCCCTGCAACTTCCTGCAACTCTTTGGGAAGGGGCTCGTCGTTGAAGATCCTTCGTGAAGATATGGTATCTGCCGCCCTACTTGAGCGCCTATCACCACTGCTCGTGGTACTTCGGATACTTCCCGCAGAGCTGAACAGACGTGCAGGATACATTGTTGCATCCCAGAGACCGTTCCCAATTGCACCCAATGTTCCTCGCTGGGTAATAGGAATAGGCGTCTTCCAAGGAGATAAAATGGACATATGGTAGTCCGAGGAAGTGAGACTTTCATAACGACTGACGGAGAGTGTGTCAGCGCTGAGCTCTTCCTTGCTTTCAATGTCAATGATCCGAAGTTCAGGTTCTAGGCCCTTTTGGCGTCGGTGAGTCCCAGGACGAAGAACACCATGTTTGGACCGCTGTTCTGAAGCGTCATCTTCCGCTTCGATATGTGCAAGTACCATAATGAGGCGGGGGGTATATAAAGAAATTCCGGATATAACACAATCCGTTCGTAATCTGAAATTAGGTTAGCAGCGATCTTTGACTATGGCAAATTTAGGGAAGCGTACACTGTAGAAACCTCCACGGAGCCGAGCTTGTGGTCCCGAATATTCTTGTTCGGTCGATCGGGGTATACATGGATAACCCAAACTGTACCTCCCCAGCCGACAATCAGCTTCTCCACCGTTTCTTGTGCCGGGGCCGGTTTAGGTGATTTGGGATTCTCATGAGAGGCATCAACCCTGGAAACCGGATCGTCCAGGCTATCTAAGGAGTCTTCATCAATCCACTCAGCCCGGGCTTTCCAAACACCGGCCATTTCTTCCCAGCCGGGAAGGTTTGGACGGTCTATGTGACCGACTCGTTTCCAGGCAAGGTCCAGATCTGCGGAATCCAAATGCAGATTTGATCGCATGATTTTGATACCCTCCTCATTGACCCAAGTGACATATTTCCCAGACAATGACCATCTTATCACGCTGATAGACCCTTCTCCGCTATGTAGGACTATATCTTTGCCGTTATTTGCCCCCAGGCCTATCGAGCCTAGCCAGCTGGAAGCTGCTGCTGCAGCACCCCCCATTGTGGTTGAATTTGAGCTTGCTCCCACCCGACCACCTGTGGTAAGAATGAGATCGCCTGCACGTCCGCCTGACAAAAATGTCCTGTCACTCTTGTACTCGGGGGACAATGCGACCGTTTGGACCGGCCGACCAAAGTTCCGTAGTATGACATCTCTTGGGTCCACCAACGACGAAATGCATACATTCCCATCGATGGAGGAGGTTGCAATGTATATTGAGTTCGAAGGTATCGCGGGAACAGCCGCTTGCTGGCTCCTCGGTTGTCCTCGAAGACTGGCAGAACTGGAGGAAGACCTGTTGGGGAGCTGGTCTTCAGTAAAGGTAGAAGCTCTGGTCAATGGTTCCGGTTTGAAAGTCGGCAGGGGAGGAGGGAACGGTGAGACTGAGATAGACGTGACACTTGCTGAATGGGCATGATATACACGAAGGGATTGTAGGAGAGGCAAGGACAGCACATGCTATGGGGGGTCAGCCATTGGGTCATGTTGGGTTGGTGTTCACGACTTACAATGTTGCCATTATGCGTTCCAATCACCTATATTACTGTTAAACATATAAATCAGTTTGAGGCATCTAGAAAGTCATACCATCTTGTCTCCTGCGGTGATGAAAGAGCTTGTTGCATCGCCATTCCGGTATACCGAGCCCAGATGTTTCGTCAGATACGCATATTTGAGCCGTGGTTCCTCGTCTTCATCCTCCTCGCTATCACCATCCTCTTCTTCTCCTTCTATTTCATCCTCCCCATCCTCTGTGCTTTCATCGTCGCCATTGTTTTGTCCGTCCTCAGTTGGTGTCGGTCGATCATTGCGATAGTGCTTGTCGCTGGTTTCGTTGGTACTCTGCGGGATAGATGTTTCGTGCTCGGGATTTGCCTGGCTAGCACTGTCTGCTACCTCCGTCGCGCCAGGCGCGTCCATGGCGAGAGCCTTTTTCCGTGCCTGGAGCTATTCAAGCAGCTGCGGCCCAACAATGTCGTCAGTCCAGTTGTCGGCCTGGGGTAGTTGATCGGAGGAAGCGCTGACTCAGCAGATTCCCGATGTTCTTTTTTCCGCGGCGCTGACGATTATTCACAGAAATGTCCCGTAAAAGTCCAGCGATTTCCAGCACTATCATCCGGATCGGACCTACCATGGACACGAGAGCTAACAATCGCTCGCTTTTCGCGTTGTCATTCTTAAGTACAGACTAAAACGCCGCCACACGATGTTCCCAAGGCCATACCTCTGTTCGGCCTGGAAAAGGCCCGCGTTGAGACTACCACAAAGCCAATTTCCTCGAGATTCTTCTCCAAGGAGCGGTTTCTTTTCATCTGTTGCACATCTCAGGCAGAAGCAATCTAATAAGGATGGCGATGTTTCTGAAGAGTGGTCTTCCGAACTGCAGAAGCAGCGGAAGAGGGGTGGTAGATCCCCGGCAGCCCCAACTTCGTTACGAAGAGTAGCTGTGGAGGCACAAAGATCCAGGGACAGTTTTATTTCGAAGACTCAGCTCAAAGAGCAAGGCTTCTATCAGACTAAGGTTTCAATAATCAAACGTTGTGATAATCTCCTTTACTGATGTTTATTTCCTCGAATTAAGACAGTGACAGCGTATGCCGTAGCAGAAAAATTTGACATTTGCAAGGTCAGAGAAATTCTCCAATACCGGGGCTTTGAGCCCGACCCTCTCGAGACCGGCCTCTATCCCCAAGTCGTCCATGTTCAAGTGCCGCTAGACTCAATACGTCGTATAAGCAATCCAACCACAACAGATCTCCCTCCTGATGAGATAGGGGACGTTTTCATATTCCCGTCAGGCACAGTTGTAGCATGGTCGCTACCCGAAGGGTTCACCTCCTTTTTGGCAACGAGGACACTACTTCCAGCGGCGAAGGGAGAACATGCGGGGGATCTTGAAACTGAAGACCTCGAATACGTGGAAGATGCCAGCCGAGAGAACAGCAACATCCGAGGTGACACAATTATACTTGGGACAAAACCAGAAGGGGTGGAATCCGGCTTGCAGCTTCCACCTGGTCGGCAATCTATCGATACAGTCCTGACCAAGGTTGCGTTTTCTTCAGGATTAGCTCGAAGCACAAAGTTGGCGGTGCTGGAGGCTCTCCTCGCGAATTACTTTGAATCTACTCGAGCAATCCCAACGCTTTTGTCGAGAGGCGCACGTCTTCCATACACCCGGGACTTTATCCTGCGCAAAACCGGCCAGCTTCTCAGTGTCCGCGCCCAACTGAATCTTTATTCGGAGCTCACGGACTCTTTGCCTGATCTCTTCTGGGATAGCCGACATGAACTTGGCCTGGAGGGATACTACGAACAGGTAGGGAGAGCATTGGACGTGGGCATTCGCATCAAGCTCTTGAACGAGAAGATGGACTATGCGCAAGAAATAGCGAGTGTTCTCCGGGAAAGACTGAGTGAGACCCATGGTCTTCGACTCGAATGGATCATTATTTTGCTCATTGCAGTTGAGATTGGCTTTGAAATTCTCCGACTGTGGAAAGAGCGATTTCACGAAACGGAGGACAGACATTAGGTCAGCCTGAACTAATGGGTCTATCCTCACATATACGTGGTGATGTATGAGTGTTGATACCCGTGTAGTATAAGATAGAATCTCCTTAGGAATTGAGACTGCATAGACAACCTCTCCGTACGGCGAGCGGAACGATGCTCCGTACTCCATTTCCCCAGATTGATAAGCGGCTTATCAGTCGGTGAGGGTCACATGTAACAGGACGATTAGTCATTATTGGGATGACGCTGCATTCACGTGGGCCAGCATCATTGTCTGGTCAGCTGTTCGATCCTCTCCTCTTAAACGGATTTATTTGGATAATTTAAGAGAGGTTTGGGGCATTACTTTTGTTATCTCAATTCGGTGCTGCTACCACGGCCATCATCGAACGAGCGGAACGCATCTAGTACGATAACAGTATCAATTCCTCGGCAACCGCAATGGAATCGTGGGCCTTCTTTACAAGGCTCCCAGGACCACAGAGGGTCCTAAAAGCTCTTACCGGGAGCATGGGACTTTCTTCATTGACAGATTTGTACAATCCGGCGACGGAGGTTACCACACACCGAACATGCGCCAAAGACGAAGTGAGCTGCCAGACCCGGTATAGTGGTCAGGACACTTGTTGTTTCAACTATCCTGGTGGACAGTTGCTTCAGACCCAGTTCTGGGACACTGATCCTGCTCTTGGGCCTGATGATTCCTGGACTATCCATGGACTCTGGTGAGACTTCATTCTCTAAGATTTGGTAGAGATACGAAACTTCTGAATGATCAGTCACTGATTGGAAGATGCGTCTAGGCCGGACCATTGCGACGGTGGCTTTGATCAGTTTTGTGATTCGAAGAGGCATTACAACAACATCTCGTTGATATTGGTAGATTCAGGCCGGAGGGACCTGCTGGAGTATATGGACGTCTACTGGAAGGACTTCAAAGGAGATGATCTAGATCTGTGGGTCCATGAATGGAATAAGCATGGTACACCTCTGCCTTTATTATTTTAATTGAGAGAGCATGGATTGACTTGGATAGGTACCTGTATCAGCACATTGGAGACCCGCTGCTACGACGAGTATTATCCGCAGCAGGACGTTGTGGACTATTTCGACAAGGCGGTCGAGATCTTCGGGGAATTGCCTTCCTATAAGGTTCGTATTTTCGATTTGATTAAGCTGCCATCTAGCCACGAAGCTCATTAACACCGTTGCAGTTCCTCGCCAACGCCGGGATCGTGCCTTCCCATACGAAAACCTACACTTTAGCTGAGATTGAAAATGCTCTTGCAAAGGGCCACGGAAGCGACGTTACAGTCAGATGCCACGGCCATTCTTTGAATGAGATTTGGTATCATTTCAATGTCGCCGGTACTCTACAGACGGGTGACTTTGTTCCCTCCTCTCCAGGTCGGTTAAATACTATCCTGCCTTCTATATTTATCAGAGCACCTACTAATATCTGTGGTAGATGGTCTGAAATCCAACTGCCCTGCAAAGGGTGTCCGCTACCAGCCCAAGAGGTTTCAACCAGAGCCAACCAATACAGCAACGAATCCTGCAAGGCCAACCGCTACTCCTGGTATTCCATTCCAAGGGAAAGGCAATCTGAAGGTCTCGACTCAAGGCTCGGGGCGGGGTTGTATAATCAGCTATGGCACCTGGTTCACATCCGGAACCTGTGCAACGTTCAGAGGAGAGAAAGTCAGAGGTCAGTTCTTACTTTTTGGAAACACTCATGTCTAGGCTCAGGGCACTAACAGCTACTCCACAGATGGCACCTTCACCTTGACATCAAGCAGGGGCAAGTGCTCTTTCGAACAAGATATTCTGACCTGCGGAGCCCACATAGACAACCCGATGGAATTCGAGGTAAGCCCCTCTATCTTTCTCTCGTCTTATTCATCAGAATTCTCATGAAAATAGATGATGGACGGAAAGCTCGCCTATAACGGAAACACGACGTTCTACGCAGATAAGCCACCCAAGGGTTATACACAGAGTGATGTCTTTGCTACCCAAAGAGAACATCCGGTTGAGCTGGAGATCACCTGGAAGGAGCGCGAGTGATTCGCATTGCATTGTTTCTAATTTTATGGCGCTTATTCGCCCTAGAACTATTCATAATTTGTCGAGAATAGACATATTATAATTTCATCTTGTCCTCGTACTACACACAGGTATCAGACTACAAGATTCCAGAATACTATAACGAAATCATCTATTCTTTTTTTGTTTTTTTCTTCTTTTTTTCTTATATATAAATCATCATCATAAACATAAAGTGTGAAACTAGAGTACAGGTAGGTCATCACCATCACCAAAAGAGGATTAGAGCATATCTGCGTGCCAAAACATAGGAGAAAAAGCAAAGAAAAAAGAAAAAAAAAAAACAAAAAAAAAAACAAAACAAAAATACAACCCTTTAGTACGATCTTTCCAACGCAAGCCCAAAAGACATCATTTAAATATCAAGCAAATGAAACAGAAACCCAGGAATCCACCAGAACAAAGGAACAACGAGAGGAAAGGCCCGCAGAACTCCATATACCCTCTAATAATCAAAAGTCCGCCAGTCCCAAGGCCAGTAAGAATAGTCGTAGTACATGTATGTGCTGATCGAAAATATCCGAGAAATTATATCTTCTTTTTTTTTTTTTTTGCCTGTTTCATTTTTCGGTTTTTTCAGTTTCCCATCACAGTGATCATTCACAAGAATTGAAGTTGTTGTAAATGTCGTGGGTAGAGTTGATACATAAGCAGGTATGCAAATTTCCAGTCGTCGAGTTCAGAAGTCATTAAAGAGTTCACGCATCAGTCCATGAACACCGTCGTGTCGTGTCATCATCAATATGCCATTCTATTTGCTTTTTTGTCGTCACAAATGCTTGTCGTTTGTCTCATTTATTATAGTCGTGCATCGTTCCTATTTATGCCTTTTGCCTTATGCTATGAAAAACTCCGAGGGCTGCTGCTCATCATGGAGATGAAAAGAGAAGAAATCATCATCCATAGCGGGAGCAGTCGTGAATGTCTTTCCAGGGAAGAAATCCATTCCTGGCCCGTCGAGAGCGGCAGTGTTGACATAGTCCGGAAATGCAGCCATCGAGGCATCTGTCAGGGGCGGGAAGTCATTGTCAAAACCACTTGTTGTTGTTGCATCCTGATTGATGAAGATGTCCAGGTCCGACTCGTGAGTGGAATCGGCCAGCGTTGGTGCGGTGTGAGGCGAAGAGAGGTTGTTGTCGTTGGACGAGCTGCTGGCATAAGGGTAGCGGCAGGACTCAGCATCCGCGATGAAAGACAGACTAGGCTCCTCGCCAATCTTCTGCATTCGCTGCTTTGAAGGCAGCATATCATCCTCTGTGCAAGGCGTGAGAGAACGCGGGTTGCAGTGAGGCGAGGGCTTGTTGCCAGTGCTGCAACCGGGGGATGCGGGAGGAGTGAAGGTAAAGGCCTCTGGCGGCAACACGGAGTAATTAGGCGTGTGAAACATCGGCCCGTTGTTGACGGGACTAGAGCCACGGAGGCTCATGTTCTCAAAGACCTCTGACGGTGGTGTGCTGCGGGAGAAGTCCGACGATCCAGAGACAGAATTCGAGGAAGAAGTCTTCTCAGCGATGCGCTCACGAGTACGGGATGCCTTGTCTTGTCGCTCCTCCATTTCGGGGCGATGCTTTTTGGGACGGCCGCGCTTTGTGGTCTTGCGCACAATACCCTTGTATCCTCCGATGCACATTCCGCGCTGACGGTGACGGGTTAAGGCGTCATGACGGGCGAACACGTTTCCACAGAGGCACTCATAAGGCTTATCGCCCGTGTGAATCTTGGCATGGCGTTTGAGATCGTGACCACGGACAAAGCACTTGCTGCAGTGGTCGCACTTGTACTGGCGGTCACCCAAGTGAGTTTGGACGTGGGACTTGATGTTCTCCTTTCGGCCAAACCGTCTCTCGCAGCCCGGGTGGAGACAGACCCATTTGCCATCCTTGGGGTCCGGACCAGAGATGTATGATGCAATCTCATCGATGGTGACACCGGTTTGATTGATGGATGCGTGGACCCTGTCATCAAGGTTCAGGTTGTCAATAGACGCGACTCTCGGGGAGAGCTTGGGCTTCGACGGAGTCGAACTCGTAGTCGTAGCGGTACTCGACATTCTCTTGTGACTTGGTGTGGCAGGGCGAATAGGAACCTTTCGTGGCCTCTCATTTTCACCTGCAGGAGACGACGGCATGGGTGCAATTTCTGGCGACGAATAGAGAGATGACGATGCAGACAAAGACGGAACATGTTTACGTTGCGACGAACTCTGTGACTCTGATTTCTCCGATCTGGAATCCTGCTGACTGTTAAATGTATCAAAGCTATCGAATTCAAATGTTGCTGTGTTGGGGGGAGAGGGGAGGTCAAATTTCTGCGATGAACTTGACCCGGCCACTCCTTGAAGGGATCTAGCACGTTGCATGTACGACGTCTTGACTGCCTCGGGAACAGACAGACACTGCTCCTTGGTGGGTGATGACTGCACTTCCGTGTTGTACGGGACAACACCCATTGACTTCTTGAATGGTGTCGTTGCTGGGGTGATTGGCAAGTAACCTGGTCTCTAAATTAGCCATAATGTTCGTGCCAAAATCATGAATTCGATCTATCTTACGGGTGTTGTTGTTTTCTTGTGCTGGTGTAAGCGGACGTTGCGAATTAGGGATGGTATCCGACTGAGCGGACAGGCGTCGCATGTCCTGCGGAACCACATTGGCTTGGGGCGCAAGCGTGTCTTGCTGGTACATATCCCAGGTGGCCATTTGGGAATTGTTGCCAGGGAAGGTCTGGCTCCGCAGCAGCTGTTGATGTTGTTGCATCAAATTGAAGTTCAGATTCAGCTGCGCTTCAATATACGCTGTACTTTGGTGGTTCTCGTTATTGTCTTGGTTCGGAAGCATATGCAGGTCCCCTTGGCTGAACGCGTGGCAGTCGGGCACCAGGGGTACAGATGTCGAATTAGCGGGGTACACCTGATGTCCCTGTCGAGCCAATCGCTGTTGTTGGGCCTCGCGCAAAACATTGTGTGGTTGCTGTGGTTGTTGGTGTACTGTTCCTTGGTTAGTAAAAGAAAGATTCCCATCCTGCATGGCCTGTGCTCGTTGTTGCATCTGGAAGGCCCGTGTGTCGAGGCTCTGGCCTCGTCGATGAGCATTGAGCCGTTGCAATGCCGGTGCAGGAAGACTAGGAGCTTTCGCGGCCTCGAGGGCTGTAGGGGTCGAGATCTGTCGGCGGTGTTGTCGTTGCCGTTCTTGGAGGTGGCCTCCATGTGAATTGGACAGCATGGCTGCTGAATAGACGCGGTACGCGCAATTAACCGGTAGTTCCGAACAAATCTGTATTCTCAAGACCTGTACAAGAAAGAGGCTCTGTCAGTATCTAGTAATGCATTCGAGAACAATGCAGGATAAACCGACCTCTTGCAGCGATGCGGTACGGCTGCGGCCAACCCGGGGGGCAATTGAACAGGTTTCCTGTAACGGTGTCAGTCTGTGACCTTCCAAATGACGCGCTCGGGGAAATGAAGGAAGAAAAGAAAAAGAGTTTCTAAGCTCTCAAATCAGTCGGTGTGCAAGTGACTAGTATCTTGTGAAGATCAAAGAGTGGTTCGGTGAAGTAGCTGAGATCCTTGGTACTAATATGGAGACCTTTCCCCAGGAACCGGACTTGTTTATATGAACCAAAAAGAAGAGGAGAGAATAATAATGATAATGGGTGGGAACCAGGGAAAAGAGAAATTATTGAATTATTGACACCAGCTCCAGGCACCCGATCCCCGATCTACGATCAACAATGTCCGCGTTGGCCTAGCAACGCCCTTTCCGAGGCGACGTCAGGGAAACGCGAAACCGCCCTGTATTGGCATTTATTTCTTTTTATTATACGAGTCAAGTTTGTTTCGTCAATTGCTTCTAAAATCTACCTCGGTTTTTTGTCACCGATAATAGCGGTAACCATCATGGCTCCGCCCATGTACAAGTGTACTATGGAGCAAGTGGGCTTTAACACGTCTATCGGATCGGGGAAACTTTTACCGGCATACAACTAGTGAAAGGTACCATGTAGTATGTACGGGGGACCACGCTGTATGCACGGGTCTATCCATGTATGTATCTTCGGAAGTTATTCGCCTCAATAACCTCCGTTTAACCATACTCTGTTACGGTAGTTTCTCTGTAAGGAGCTCGTTTCATTCCTCCTTCCTTGTATCAAGATTGAATATATAGTTTGCGCCCGGGATTTGCAGTATGGTTACGTACGAAGGGGACAAGAGTTCAAATAATTGAATACATTCATACCCTGGATTGGCTTCTGTGAGGGAGCAAGCATTATTGCATCCGTGGCAGGTTCGAGACGCAGTCCATGGCCTCAGGAAATTTTGTGTGATTTACAATCCAGGCATTCAAGTCACCGTTAGGTCACTACTAAATCCCCCAAGACTACCACCGGCTTCATTCATAAAAAGCCATCATGATAACCGACATACTCAGAGGGACCCCCCTCGCCTTAGAAGATACCACTCGCACTCTCTATAACCGTGCTACACTAACCCTTCCCTCACCGATGCAGAACTTAGAACCCATCGCCCGTCTCCAGAAGACGAGCTTTGTCGCGCAACATATAGCCTGGGCATGACTGGATTGATTAATAGAGCGATCAAAGATAGAGATCTGCTAGCATACACGGAGGCTTATTTGCTGACAGACGAGCTCGTCGACCATCAAACTGAAAAGCTGTTCCATGAGCGGACGCGTTTGAGCGCAGCCGATCACGATCTCACCCATAGGGCCCTCGACACCGTCATGGAACAGGATAAGAAGACCGCCCAGGCTAATGCGTATCACTTGCATCAACAGTGAAAATGCCATTTCATCTGCGGGTTTCCATTCCATGAACGATGATGACCGCCGGAATATCCTATACGCCCTGCGTGTGCCATGGCAGGAGCATGTCTTGGGACTCAACACGCTATTATATGGGCTGTTGGTCTTTCGGGCGGCTGATGTGGACAACAACGCTGAGTAAGCGTCATACAAACAGCAAGTCCAAACTGCCATTCATTGCAGCCTCAATTGGAAGAAGTACTCTGGAAAAATCCGCCGTTGCCAAGTTTACTATGCACTGGCTGGACATTAATGCGCAAGACAATTTAGTGTCTGAGCTCCGGCATTGATTTAACGCCTTGTGAGAAAGTGGTGAGTTTATTGCTGGTTTGCGGAAGAACTTGTTCTTGTACATAGATCGTGAGGCCTTGCAATCACGGGATGATGAGGTCATTTGTCTAGCTTTAGGAGCCGGACGAGGGGGCAGAACCACTGAAGACGGATACCAAGCATATTACCCCTACTCTGTTTGCGCGACTCACCCAACGGGATTTATCACTTCCCGAGATCAGATGGCACCTGTATCGATACATGTTAAAATTGAACATGCTTCATCAAGCTGCCTGTCACTCGCGCAATAAGGGTAGACGGCAGGATTAGATCTGGTGTTCGCCTGCTCGTTATATGTGACCCTTCCGTATGGAGATGTGTCATTGTTTTTTGAGGAATATTTGCTGGTTTGGATTTATCGAAATCTATGCTGGAATAGATTTAGCACGTCGTTAATTTTAGGGAAGGACAATTCATAATGAATCAAAGGCAGTGAAAAAGGAGCAATTGCCTTTGGCTTCCAATTTTGTAGAATATTCCGTTTGTCCTAGGCTGCACATGCTCGATAGTGTTTTCTATTTATATGGAGCTCATGAAGTACATTAAGTGCATAAATAGTAATAAATCACAATATTCATTTCTTCGCCTCTCACCGTTGCACATCTTCCGGTCTCTGGCTTGGCTTGCATTCCCTCGTAAGATCTATCCCGCTAGAGAGTCCCAAATTTCCCTGATATCTGAATTAAGCACAGAACTGGGTTTTCAACCTTCTTTTTTGGTGAAAGAATAAAACATTTACTCCTGATATATTTCCTTAGCACGCAGCTGTGCGTCCAGTACTCAAGCTTTTCTATCTCTAGGACATGAGAGTACCATGCGCCTTTATAAGATTCAAAATCCTGGGCCTTGGGTCCCGTCTGCTGCTCATGGATGTGCTCTGTAAAATTGGGATCACTACTTCGTGCTGAGATTGCTGTGTTGTCACAGTTGTAAGATAGACTGGTGCACAGCTTATAGTCATTTCGGACTATGTTGCTCCTCTCTGATGCCATATCCTATCAAGTGTTCGTATAATGGGGACCGTAACACATATAAAAATTTGCAGTACCATATCTTCCGGTATCTGGGTTAGTTTACACTGGATTGTCGTTCTCGCTGGATGCGACATCCATGTAGCCCACCGGAGCACTATGGGTGAGAGCTTGAGCAATTTGGAGGTAGCCCTTGCTGGGTGGATGTGAGCTCGTCATGAGTTGCTGTTTCATCCTTCTTTCAATCATCTGTCGTCAGTTCCTTGTCCACCACGCTCGTTCTAGCACGAGACATGACTGTGATGCTTGTGACGATAAAAGATAGTGCCAATAAATTCGTGTCGACCAGATGGTTTATGATTCAGTGATTCTGTCTGATTGCTCGAACGATGGCAACAACGCAGGGCAAAATAGGCATAGAATACTGGACTTGACTTCAGGGCATGTGAGAAGTACCATGGGCTTAAAAATCTTGGATGGCACAGATTGATGCATGATGAATAGACAAAGAGAAAGAAGACTGTCGTGAGTGGAACCCTACAAATCTAGGGTTCTTTCATCAAATTTACCCAAACCCAAGTCGTCTTCCCATTCCTCTTCTCAAAAATCCAAATACTCTTCATACACTTCACAGTCGACAATAAATTTAAATCTACCCTTTTCAGCTATCTTCGCCAATTCGCCCACTTCAAGTTCAAACACCTCCCGCGCAAATCGCACGGCCTCCCTACGGTAGTTGCATCTTCTGGTAAAGTTTGTTGAAATATCCAGCATCGAAGTGCACGGCGAAAATAACGGTCTGAAGTTGACCGTCTTGAGTTCAGGGATACGATTGTTTTATTCTTCAACAATACCATCCAATAGGTCGAAGATGGGTTTCTCGCAGTGTGAGGCCACGAGTGTTTCTAAGGATCTTGGGAGCCGAGGCGTGTTGCCCAAACTAGATTGTTCCACATATAGATCTTTCAAGTTCATTAAGGGTATGAAAAGTCCAAACTTTGAAGAATCGGTCTCGATAAAATCGATATTTTTCAATCCAGCACTTCTAAAAATTCATCAACTTCCAGACGATCGATGCTTCGAGACAGATGTAGATCGACCACGTATAATAGTGAGTTCACGCATTTGCATGAGTTCATCAAGGTGGCTAGTGTCTCTTGATCTAGGCAGCATGCCCCTAATAAAATGGATGATGGTTTCACTGCGTTCGGGAGAAAGCCAAACTCGGCGAGCTGAGTACCATCGCTAATGCAATGCTCGACTTTGAAGTGTTGCAGATGCAAGGGTTGCAAAAAGGGTTATAGCTTTTCAATTTGCATGCCACCCGGAAATTCGTTATCTTCGGAAATGGCCCTGAGAGAGTAAGCGATGTGAGATTGGAGGGGTGCTTAGATACATCCATATAACTCTGATGTCCACCAATCCAATCAAGCTTCACTCGTTGATGCTTACATTAAGCACCTCAAGTGTCTTCAGTTTGATGGATAGGAGCAGCAGAACAGGGCTGGTCATTGCAGCTAAGATGGCTCTAGCATACATCAATTTGGCTCCTTGGTTGATTTTTAACTTCTGTAAGACTGTAATTCATTAAGTAAACATAGGCAGGCACCAAACAAAATAACACGCGCTTCATAAGTCGGGTCAGCATCAGGATCTTCTCCAGTTCTGATTTTCATCTCACGAACAGTGCTCTGTAGGTCGGTTCGCAAAAGTACGATCCGAGTAAACTACGCGAGAGCCCCCAAAGACTTCCATTTGAGACTCATCGGAGTAGGCCATCAAAGTGAACTTCCTTAAGAGCAATGACTGGGCAGTTTTCTTGAATGAACGGGAAACCTCGCAAAATGACGATAAGTCGTGTTTATTGTCCAGATGAGTGAAGATCTCGCGAAAGAGTTTTGGAATTAAATGTTGAGACATGGCCGTGATGAATGGGGGAGACAAATTTAGAAGGTGATACAAATAGTAAAGTGCAAATAAATGAAGGAAAGAAGCGTTTTAGATAGCCGGTTCTGTCCTAATCTCTGTAGGTCGCTACCGTAGGTTCGAAGCCAATGTTTTGGCAATGGCGTTGATGGTCCTCAATTTTTCCGACTTAGGATACGACACTAGGCTGGGGGTGATTTTGAATCAGGTAATATACAATTGGCTGGATTAAATGGGTTTTAATCAATGGGTTGAGCTGATACCGGATAAGCAGGACGAAGAAAGATTCGCATTCTGCCATATTCCTCTGCCTTGCCAAATCGGGCAGGGGCCCACGGTCACCTACAGAGTACCAGACCATTGATTAGGATATCTTGAATCAAAGACAAGCCAACTATGAAGCATTAGGCTGTTTTATTCTTCTGTTATCATGATCTAAACCGTTGCCGCACATCAATAATGGCATCAATAGCGTCTTTAGTCAAATTCTTCGCCAAACCTTCGGTAAATGCTCGGCGATACTGCAAACTGTTTCAACATACTACATCATTGCCTATTTCTATAATAGTAATGAATCGTTACCCCACAAATCAAGCTATGTCAATACAAGACATTGGGGTATGGTAACCCAGCTATTCTCAGGGATTACGGATAGCCTTCAAAACGTGATTATCGTATATGGTATGGACAAGGTATATGGTATTATTTACACAGAATTTGAATTAAAAGTCTTCCACGATAAACGAAGGTCGGATATTATATATACATAACTTAGCATAACGAATGTGTGTGTATGTGTGTGTATGATTTAACACAGGGTATCAGCCGATTGGATCGAGTCCCTCTGGTTCTTAACAAACTTAGGCCAAGTGTTGGTAAGAACAAGATACTTAATGCTCTTCTCCGCATCGTTAAAGACAGTCTCATCAAACCCCTCCGGAACATCGCCCCAGTACTGCACGCGGTCCTCAATAGGCCCCGAAGAGGTGCTCTGGACTGTCTTCTCAGAGTCAGAGCCCTCGCCATCACCCTCTGGTGGGAAAGTGGCGGAGAGGGGCGACTCGACGAAGGGGGTGGTTACGTCGACCTCGCGCTTCTCGCCGTACATGATGCGAGTTGGTGTCTCGAAGATGTTCTCGAGTGTCTTGAGCTCTTGCGAGGAGATGTTGATGGGGAAATCGGCGTGGCGGACGCTCACGAACTCGGCATAGATGCGGAGAGCGCGGTTGAAACGTTCACGGATCAGTTCCTTGACGTTGTCGCCGCGAGGGGTGGTGCTGTAGACGGCCTTGGGGAGCGAGCTCTTCCACTCAGTGACGCTGGTGAGGAAAGCGATGTTTTCACCGGAGAAGTCGTGCAGAGCAGAGAATTCCAGAAGGGGAGTGGGATGGCGCTCGAGGACATACTCGAGAGCCCCCATAGTCAGGATACTCTCGCTGGAGTCGGTGGTCTTGACGGAGTTGCTGCGGGATATCAGGGACTCAGCCATGATGGAGGCGGAGTTGATGGATTTGGCTTCGGAGCCGGAGACCTTGTTCTTGAATTCCCATTGCGCGATCGTGTCGAGGGTTTCCTTGCGGAGAGAGCGGTCGCGGATGACCTCGTAGCAGGGGAGAAAAATGGTGAAGATTTCCACGACATAAATGGAAAGGCAGATCCATTGCGGAGGCAGCCAGTACTGGTTGACCTTCTCCATGGCGGGAACGTATATGGCGATAAGCCACATCGGGGTAGCGTGGAGGTTTCCAATGGCGCAAGCAATGGTCTGAACCCTCCAGCCATGGGTGTCGTGGATGTTACGAGATTTCCAGAGAATGATGGGCGCGACAATCCAGGCCCAGAAGAACTGCCAGACCACAGTAGGCCACCATTCCCAGCCACGACCCATCTCAGCCTTTTGCTCCATCGGGGTACCGTGAACTGCAGTGCCGGGAGCACCCCAGGAGCTGTGCCACTTGCGGGAAATGATCCACATCAAGGTTGTGAGGAATACCTGATGACAGTTAGGAGAGATACAGGACGAAATTAGGAGGGACATAATCGTACCTGAACCAGCATTCCGATACCAACGACAACGATCATCTTCTTAGAGTAGTCGAGATGGCGAAAGCGATTAATCAAGCTGCCCTTTTTCGAGTCGGAAGGCGATTCAAGAGTGCTGTCTCGCTGGGTGTATTTCTTCTGAGCCTTGGCGACATGGAGGAAGCGACTGTTGGAAGCGTGGAACAAGGCGATACCAAGCGGCAGGTAGATACCCATAACCCAAAATTCGGCGTCACCGGGCATAAGAGGACCAAGCATGAGACCGATTTGAATGGTGATCCAGTACAAATGAAGCGTAACGATAGCAGCGAGCGACAGACCGAGACCTCGGACGCGGAGAACAGGCGCTTTACGGTTGACGATTAGAAACGCAATGCCGCTCACGATGATGACCGTCCAGATGCAGGCCCAGCACGACCACCAGGTGGTGACCGAAGTGATGAGAGGCTCTGCCTTGGAATCGGCCGTGACTCCGAGTTCCGACCCCATGATGGATGACGGATTCTCGGTTGGTGAATGAATGACTGAAGTTAGGTAGTGGCTTGTCAAGTCACGGAAATCGGGTCCGTGAAGAAATCGCTCAGCATTGAAATTATTCTTGTGGGGAGACAGGGGACTTATAAAACCCATTCGGCTGGGAATTGGAAAATCACCTAAAAATGACGATGCATGCTTAGTGGCACATGGTGCTACAATACGAAAAGAAACGAGGGTCCCATAAACTATAGATCCAGAAAAACCTTATTACATGTAGCACTCCTTTTTCCTTTTTTTTTTTCTTTTTCTTTTTTTCTCCAACGTGCACGCTCATTTTCTCCAAATCGGGAAACCCTAAATCGCTTAGATTACGAATGGTCGGGTGGCAAAGGGATCGGGCCACAAGATCTGCCTGTCGAGAGATGCAAAACCGCGCGGCACTAAGATCTAGTTGGCGCACCAAGTATTGCGCTAGACATTTGACATGCATAATGAAAACAGCCCGATTGTACCATCCAAGGCCACTAGTGCCATCTCAAGACAGCCCGGCTCTGTTAGTACTGCCTTCTACCCGCTAGGCTACCCCCTAAACCGCCCGAAGATGGCTTGACCACCGTCCGCCAGACACGATCGAGAGATAGATTAATGCCGATCCTAATACTCCAACTACGAACCGTAGTTAAGGACAAAGTCCATTGTAGTGTCTGACATTGTGAGGGATCAATAACAAGAGAAGCCGCAGATCGGGTCCACCAGCTACGACATAATCGGAAACTAGTGGCTCGTAGCACGAGAGATTTCAAATACTTTACCACGGGTTGAAAATCAGCCTAGAGGTACTATCAGATAAATGGGACCAACCTAATCGGCACTTGAGCACGCTTGCATATTCTCGGTATGTAATCCCACGTGCTATCTTGTAGTGAGGCAGTTTATGGATTCCACCACCGTGCGGTCCATGTCACCGTTATCAAAGTCTAAAATCAATAAATCCAGTAGCCAGGGGAAACATATACGAGATATAAACCCAGGTACCGGGAACCGAATCCGGAGAGATGGCGTCATGACTGCAGTATGTGCATACTCCGTGCATCTTCGTAGATAATCCCTCACAGTTATGAATACAACTGCAGATAACCCCCGGTCGTCTGTGCTTATTATGAACATGACTGGGATTCCAGCTTGTTCGAGTTTATTTTTACGAGTTCCCCGCGTTCAGTGACACCATGAGCTGGCCTTATGCCCATGTTGACAGACAATCACATTGTCGAGTCAGTCCTGCGCCTTTTCCCTCTTGAGGCATAGTACGGAGTATACTCATAGTGGTCTAGACAAGGCGATTATCCTTCAAACTAGTATAACCCTCAATGCCGAGCAGATGGTACTGGTAAGCAGTATCCATAGGACTAGCCACCTGTGATTCTCCAGTGCCTGCAGAAGTGGAAAGCTTGTCACGAGACCACGTGACCAGTACCTGGATAATGAAATGGGGATCGGAGGTCGGAGGTCCGGAGGAGTCGATTATCCGCGACTAACGAGGTCGTATACAGAGGTCCAATTTTAACGAGAGAAGTGTATTTGCCTATTAACGCGTATACCCACACACAGCTGGTCGAGTGCTTGTCTATCTAAAATGTGCGTACACATTGGCCTATATAATCGGGTCGGTGGAACTTGCCCAATCGGTCCGACGTTATTCCATATCAGATAAGTCCGGTCATGTCCGCCAAAGTCACATGACTGATATCGGAATTGGAGGAATGAAAGTCCGTACAAGGGCTGCGGGCAGGAAGCGATACACGTGATCACACAAGCGATTTCGCGATTTCGATCCAAACTTAAGCTCCGCTTTTCTTTTTTCTTGAACGATCACCAAAGGTTGAGGAAGACAACTTGTCGAGGTGAGTTATTCTTGCAGGATCCCCTAAGAATGTCAGATTGCGCGCGATTTGTCTATTCTTTTCAACTCGTTTGAAGACGCTGGCTTTTCCTGTTTCAGTGGAGTCGGTTCGTCGAGAACGAACTGCGAAAATAGTCAACGCGCACAATCATGGAAGCCTCAGCGAGAGAAAGAATGAACAGCGACTAACCTATACAGGCCTTTGCAAAGATGCAAATCTTCGTCAAGACCCTTACGGGTAAGACTATCACCCTTGAGGTGGAGTCGTCGGACACCATTGACAATGTCAAGTCCAAGATCCAGGGTACGTCCCCCATACACCTCCCAAATCACGTCACAGTCCCTAACAGAATAATAGACAAGGAGGGAATCCCCCCGGACCAACAGCGTCTGATCTTCGCTGGTAAGCAGCTGGAGGACGGCCGCACTCTTTCGGACTACAATATCCAGAAGGAGTCGACCCTGCACCTCGTGCTGCGCCTGCGTGGTGGTGGTAAGAAGCGCAAGAAGAAGGTCTACACCACCCCCAAGAAGATCAAGCACAAGCGCAGAAAGACCAAGCTTGCCGTCCTCAAGTACTACAAGGTCGATGGCGATGGCAAGATTGAGCGTCTCCGCCGCGAGTGCCCCGCTCCCGAGGTATGTGCATCCCTTTCCGCTCTTATTGAACTTGGAAGAAGCAGGGGCTAACTGTTGTAGTGCGGTGCCGGTGTCTTCATGGCCGCTATGCACAACCGCCAGTACTGTGGCAAGTGCCACCTCACCTACGTTTTCGACGAGTCCAAATAAGCGGATCGCCCGTTACTCTCCGGTAAAGACTTGGTTGGATAGGTTGAGGATCGCCTCGGCTTCGGCAGATAGTTATGAATAACAATGAATGAATGTCTGCTGGTCAATTTTATTCTCATCAATCGTAGACGTGTCTTGTATCCATTCTAGTCTGTAGAGTCATGTGCACTGTGCATAATCGTATTTACAAAAAAGAACTGTTCCTTTGTCCCATCACCGAAATCCCGCCCTAAGGTTGTCGTATTGACTCTCAGGGAAATCGAGGTTATTCGCCGACTGCTCCAGAGCATTCACCCCTCCGACACCCTCGACAAATGTCCCGATCAAACTCCCCTCTGCCGGACTCGCAGCCTTCCCTCCCTTATCACCACTCGTCTCCCACCACATGCCACCACCAAGCAGGTTCGCCCTGACAAAGTTGGCCTTCATCTGCGTCATCGGCACGGTATCGTACGAGACCATCGTCCGGGTCGCAGGGCTATAACACCACGACGCTTCCACCGACTGATCCAATTCCTCCCTTGCCCCAGGTCGTGGAAGCGCCTTGTAGTCCCATACGCCATTCTCCCAGCTCCCCTCACCAACGCCTGAGAAGGGGGTTCCAGGGCCGTCGGTGTTGGTGAACGCGCGGCCGTACAGGGGCATGCCCAGGACCATCTTGTCACGAGGGATCGCGGAAGTTTCTGTGTAGTGTAAGAGGGCTGCGGTGGTGGAAAATGGAGTTGATGCGGGGTTGTTGTTGGAAGGGTAGATGTTGGCTTGGTGGCCGGCGATGGAGTCCCAGCTGCCGGCGTAGTCGTAGGCCATTAGGTTGTAGAAGTCGAGCAATGGGGTCATTTCGCGGAGTCGGAGCTTAGTGAAATTTTGGGGACCTGGAAGATTTAGCAAAGGATATTGCAAAACTGGATAGTTAACGCACCAGCCGGGCAAGCAATGGTCAAAAGGAATTTGCGATTGGGGCCAGCTGCGCGATCTAGAGTCTGAACATTGTTAGATCCTGGGCGAGAAAGGGGTCTGGTATGATAACTCACTTCACGACACTTCTGAAGAAGCAAGACAAAATTGTACGCTTCGGTGTCATCTAAACAGGTATCAGCATCCCGCCCAGTAAGTCTCAACCCTTCGCAACTCACTCTGAGGGTACTCCCAGTCCACATCAAATCCTACCCCTGCATTAGCAAACCACTCCTTCAACAAAGAGAGGAAGGACAACACACCATCAAACCCCAAATCCAGCACCAACTTAGTAGCCGTCTCCGCAAACCTCGTCCTCCCCTGCTCAGTACTAGCCGGCTGAGCGAAATTACTCGAGTACGTCCATCCACCAATCGAAAGCAAAACCTTGAGTTTCCGATTCTGCTGCTTCAGAAGGAACAACTGCTTCACGCAGCCGTAGACATTGTGGCCCACGTCGTTCCATGAATCACTCGGGTAGTGTTTCTCAATGTCCGACCAGGTATCAGATAGGTACCTGCATTAGTGTCAGGATTGAATTTGGGCCTTGCATTGGATTGCATATAGAAGATGGCTGGCTGAAGGAGTTCATGGGCTGGCTGGGAGCTTACACTTCGCCACTCTCCGGACGCACGTTGGCGAATGCGTATAGCACATGAGTTAATTTGTCGGCGGGGATGTCCTGGGGGTTATGGGCGCGGCCGTAGATTGCCTGTGGAGCGGTTGGTGAGCTGTCACTGAGCTAAATTCTGTTTCAGCGCATGTTAATACATACCCAGTTGACGAAATATGCGACAGATTTAATTCCTGTAGACATGTTTGCCGCAGGACGAATTCTTGAAGTCTCGAAAATTGACACGTTGAAATATAATGATAACAATAAAGATAATCGTCACCAGGGATACTGTGCAGGTATCTTGCAGTTCAACGGGCTCGCCGTCAAATATATATGAACTGTCTGGCGGATAACACCGAGTAGAAGTGAAGCTATTCGATGCAGCCTAGGTCTTGCCCAATTGGTACAGATATAAAAACAGAAACAAATGGTGATTGGTGGACGTAGCTGTGGCTGGGGCAGGGAGTGTGGCTTGGTGACTGATGATGTAATCGGACATGGAGTAACTTAAACAAGGACGAGGATATGAGAGCACGGAGCACTCCTTTATATAGATTTCTCGGTCATATCCTATACTAGAGAAGATATTGAAGCGTCATCATTATCAATTGAAGTAATTCTGTGCGACTTCGCATTGATCATGCTGACCTTCAATCGCTCCGAACTCAAGAAGCCGAGCATGAAGCCGAGGCGCAGGGTGAGGCTAGAATATCCCGCAGTCCAGAGTACTTTGTAGACGAGGCAGACAATGTGCCCCAGCAAAGCGTTGAGTTTAATGCGATTTGTTGTTGTTGTTGTTGTTTATTTTTATTATTATTATTTTACATTGCTCTCATTGAACAATGGCCAATGTGATATCCAAGGCACGCATGGCAGCTTCTGCACGATATATATGTGGGGAAGACACGTTTAATCGACAGTGGATTCATCATATGGGATTTACCCTGGGAAGGATCCCGGAATTGACGTGTACTTTGTGCTTGATTCAAGGTACTTCTGTACTCTGATTGAATAATGATCACATTTTGGATTTTCCGTAGATAATCTCCCTGACTCTACGGGATATTACTGATGACCTACTCGTGTGTCTCGTGCTCAACTCGAGTATCTCCATTCTCCATTGATTGGGATCAAAGTTTTACTGTTTTGAGTCTAGCTATTTCACTCCATATGAAGTGAGCATTAGCCAATGTGTAGTGTCAGGTCACAAGTACCTGAATGTTTACTACCGGAAACCCGCGTGAAGAAGAAAAAAAAAAGACGTGGTCAGCTGAAACCCCGATCGACGATATCAATTCTACCCTACTATTGGCGCACGGCTTCGATCGGTAACGGTGACCGCCCCACAAGGTTAAACGCTCATTTCCCGGTTTGGAATTAGGGCACAGCGGCTTAGATATCCGATTAACTCTGCAGAATATATGCCGTACACCTTGTAGAAGGCAAGTTGTGAACAATACAGAAGAGAAATAAACCAATTGATTAGGTCTATATCAATTTAAAATGCTTAGGTACAATCAAGCGTTGATCCCATAGGCGGCACATAGAGTGTTACCAACATCCCGAGATCTGTGGAAATGTGGATAAAATGCAATCCAGTATCATTGCGGAACACCAGCCCCACTGCATCGGGTCCTTTTCAGCTGGGATTGTTCGTCAGAACTAGTCTCAGCGTCTTTTCCCTCCCCCACTAGGAGAAAAATAAAATGTCCCGAGATGAGGCAAGGTGAGATACGATGCAAAGCGAGCTTCCTCGCATCTTTTTTTTTTGGTCAGCCGAGCAAATGTTGCAGATGGAGTGCCGCTTTTGAGTTTCAGTGTTCCTGGTATGCATGCCTGGAAAAGAGAAAAAGACATGCGATCGCTGATTTCGCGTATGGTGGTGTAGGCTTTTTTTTTTTTTTTTTTTTTTTTTTTTTCCATTTTTTTGTTCTGCGGGTATGAAAGTAGATTTGTGTATGTAAGTGTGTGTTTGCGTAACTAGACTTGACTCCGGGTATCCGACAATGGTCACAGACAAAAACAATTGGACAATAAACCGAAATTGAAGAGGGCAAAGGGAAGGAAATAATAACGAAAAAGCACACAAAGCGGCCGGCGCTCCGAGGCAACAAAAGCAAATAACAAAACAATCAAAGAATAATCCCGAAAAATTCTAGTGGCTCTCTCGTTCTCGTTTCTTTTTTTCGGCCCCCGCCATAGAAACGATCAAAACAGCAATAGGGAAAGGGGAGGGGGTATTATCGTATGCAGTAGTCATCTCATGAAGGGTGCATCTGGATCCAGCGCAAAATCGTAGCCAAAGACGGATCATCGTCAAGCCAGTGACCTGCCCGCAGGTCGGCAGTCCGGAGGTCAGAAACGACGTATTGGTCTGTTATTTGTGCCAGTTCCTGTACACTTAAGCATTAGCGTTCGTTCATATATATGGAGCATGGGGAAACCAACCTGGCGAAATGAATTGCTCACGGTGGCCAATTGCGCCGCATGTTGAGCCGTTGGTTGTTGACCGCGCAAGATATTTGCGCGATGAAGAGCCCATCGCTTCGCAGCCGCAATACGAAGATAGATCCGGTGTGCCTGGAAGCGGCGGGCGCTGCCATCGAGTATTACCCTGTACCAACTAGAGTCAACATTTCCCTCTCGAGTTCAAGGATTTGTAGGATGGAACACACCTCTGCAATTCCGCCCTCTCTGCTTCCTCGTTGCTGGCATTGCTTGGTACAGCAGCGGGTGTGTAATTCGACCCCATCAAAGCCTGTGCGGCTGTATGGCCCTCGCGCATAATGACATGGCCCTCTTCGAAGTACTCCTCTATTGGTGACGGGATGGTCTCTTCGCAGATGTGTAGGAGCAGAGTGCGGTAGTCGTTGATGATCTCGGCCACACGCAATGCTCGTGCTTGGTTGACTAGATGCAAAAGTGGCTTATTAGTATCTCGTGTGCGCATAGAATATACAAAGGAAAATGGAATGCTTACGTCCGTCAGCCATTGTTCCTTCTTAACAAACACCCGGGGTAGTTCGAGAGTTAGACAGGTCCTAAGATGAATACAAAGGAAGGAGGATATTGAAACAAGACAATGGCTATCAGACAAGTAAATCTATCTCCTGGGCCGAGCTAGTCAATCGCAAACTGCTTGCTCTGATGATTCTCTCACAATCGAGAGCGAACCGCTTCCTTTTAAGCTTAATTCTCGAGGCCCATATTTTGTTCATGGCTCTTTTTTATTTTTTATTCTGCAGCTGGCTTGACTGTCAGCCGTATGGCGGAGACCCTGAATAGGAAATCGATGAAAAAGGGGGGCAAAAAAGATAAAAAAGAAAAAATAAAATAAATAAAAAGTAGAAATCAACATTAACCGCGCCGGACCGTGTACCAATTGGGGATCAATTAGACCCAGCTGGGAAGTATGACAATGATGGTGGATCAGAGACACCGTTGGGTATATGCGGAATGTCCGAGCTGGGGTCTTAACACAGCTCGCTGGGTCCTCCTGTCAGGGCAGAGTATGTATCCATATGGCTGTCTGAAAATATGCGTGTGTGTCTGTGCATGAATAGTAGTATGCAGGCTTTTTGCTTCCCCGTCTTGGCTCCATATCCATTCCTTATTGTTATTTTCAGCGACTGAGGATTTTACTTCGCCTGAGATACTCGGGCAACGCGAAGAGCGAGAAAAAAAAAAGAGAAAAAGAGAAAGGAAAAGAGATCTCGGACAACAATGAAAAGTCATTAGCCGTATCCACAGTGTAGAAGATCAGCTATAACTGTCCTCAATATAGCGCGAATGTAAGGTTTAGTGATGAACCCATAGCCCCGGGCCCCGGAGCCGTTCGGTGCCAGATCTCGGAGCGCGCTTATGCACCACCACATCCTTGTGAAGAGTCATACTCGCCACATTTGGTCCCTGCTCATTAATCAAAAATAAGAATATGCATACCCGGAGAATGCAACTGGAAGGGAAAGATATGTCACATTTCTTTTTTGAATCAGTTGTTGATGTGGGGGTGTCGGGGCTGATCGTCCAATTGGGACGCTGCGTTCAGGTCAAGCCACACGCTGAGCCACACTCGCTCAACCATTTCGTGGTGATCGTGAACAATGGCAGCTGAAACGGACACTGGCTCCATGCATGTTACCTGCAGACTTTGCAGCACGATCCCTATTGCAATCTCTCGCTTGAAACAACCGGTGGCTGTCATGGCCCTATCGGTGGCGAAGTTCCCCGGTATCACAGCATCATCTTGACCCAAATCGGCAAGCAGTACCCCTGTAAAAGATATTGCATCTGGATTTGTTGGGAAGCTCAGCACAGCTTGTGATGAACCTATCATGTCGCCACTCATGTAATTGTTTAATTTTCTATATCCATACCATTTAAAATTTGTCGTCCGAGATGTATTTGCAAGGGACCGAGATCGTGCGAGAAGATGGACATTCATATACTATCATCGTCTTGGGTCTTAACAATCCATGAATAAAAGATAATCGGATGATAAAAAGAAAAATAAAACTACTCAATCCTTTTCGGCGATGGCCTGCAACCGCTCGTCAATCTCGTCCTCCGTCAAAGCCCGGAAACTAGGATCTATCCCTTCCTTGCCGTCCTTTCGTGGGCCGCCCACGATACCCAGCTCCAATTCATGCTTCTTGAAGTCCACGCTCAACACATTGCTGAGGGCTGTGATGGCCAGCTCAACGACTTCCTCCCAGTTACCATCGGCGTAGTCCTTGTTCTTCAGCTTCTTCTCCAGGTGGTTAAACGCCTCCTGTTGCTTGGGCCCGGACGCAGTCGCTTTGTATCCGACATAGTATCCAGCAGGGTCGCACTTGTAGAGTTGGGATCCCTTCTCAACATCCAAAGAGATCAGGGTCGTGGCAACACCTAGTGGACGCATGTACGCCTGAGAACAAATTGTTAATCTACTGACTCTGTCCCCCGGCATATAACTTGAGATATCAAAGAAAGACCAACCCTCTGTGTGTAGACCTGGTTGATGTTGGCCAAACGCTTTGCCAGAACATCACAAGGCATCTCATAACCAAACTTGTATCGGAACTCAGCAGCCTCTCCACGGGCACGGTCGACAGAGGCTCGGGCATCGGCAATGGAACCGGTCATAACGCAGCCGACGGAAGGCGAAATTTTGAAGACGTGTGAAACGGAATCGGGGTCGATCAATTTATCCTAGGTCATCATTCTCCATCAGTTTCGGGCCGCAAAGTAGATGTAGGTACGCGGGCGGGCAGGCTGTCTTACGGGAACTTTCTTCTGAGAGATGACCACGGCGCAGTTTTTTCCTCTGATTCCAAGGGAGGTGATATTTGACGAGGTGATAGCCTTGAACGCATATTCTAAAAACGCAGAAACGGTGTCAACAACAGAGCTCAGGTCGGAGGGGTTGAGTTCATCAACGCCGACAACAATTCATTTATCATCATCGAAAGAAGAAGTTGACGTACCGACTTGGTACAGACGACCCTGGTCCGAGAAAATCGTGATATGTCTATCGTATGCTGCTCATAGAGACACGGTCAGTTGCTGATAATGAAGTCATGGGAACTTGTCCCCAAGGGTAGCGGACGAGCATACCGGACATGATGAACGGTTTAGCTCAACAACTTATGTGAAACAAAATACCGGATAATATGGGAATGTATCAAGAAAGAGCAAACCCCAACTGTGGACAAGAGAAGATGGGGGAGAAGACGGCGATGGTGATGGTGCCAACAGACGCCGTGCCCGGGAGCTCTCCAGTAAGCTCTGCCCTGACCGCCTTCTTCTGCCACCACCGTGTATCAGATACGGTATAAGACGCTTTGTTTTCATTTCTTATTTGTTATTTTCTTTTTTCATAGGATGTTCAAATCTAATATGGATTGAATATTTTCCTGTATACTAGGGGATTCTATAGAAATAGCCTTGGTTGAGTAGGTGAATATGAATCGACGGGTATATCAAGCCTCAACTATACAACACTTCAAATCTACTCTCAGAAACAAACCACTGATGTAAATGAACAAGCACCCACTTAAGAAACTTTTGGTAAAGAAAACCCAATGTCAATGTACCAGTGCTACCAGGTTCATGGAGGCGAAACGCCAGTTTTAGCTCGCGCTTAACCGGAATCACTCGAACTAGAGCTATCAGAATCATTGTCGCTGCTGGAAGACGAGTCTTCGTCGCGTCTCGTTGTATTGGCTTTCTTCTTGCCGCCGCCGCTTTCGCTATCACTTTCGCTGTCACTTGAACTATCGCTGTCACTTTCGCTGCTGCTCGAGATATCCACAACCGCAGTTCGGCTTTTCTTTTTCTTGGTGGGAGTCTCTGACTGCTTTTCATTTTGTTGCTTTTTAGCAGACTTGCTTTTTTGTGGGGGCTTCCCGTCGTCACTGTCACTGTCGCTATCACTCGAACTGTCGCTGTCACTCTCACTGCTACTGGAGATATCAATTACAGCGGTACGGTTCTTCTTCTTCTTTTGCGCAGGAGCTTCAGCTTGTTGTTGCTCAGGCTTTCCTTTCTTCGAAGGCTTCGGTTTCTGGACGTAGACCAGTTTGCCGTTGATGGTGAACGTTATCACTTCCGCTCGTAATCTCTTCTCGAGTCTCTTGCGCATATCGCCAGTCACGTTTTGCGCTTTGTCCAAGGCGTCGATGCTATTCAAATCGCCATTGCCCAGCGATAACCCTTTCCGGAATGATTCGACAGCTTTGTAGTATTCGGCCATAGGATTCTCCTCCTTGGGTGCTTCCTCTGCATTCTCCTTCGCAATCTGTTCTTCCATTTCAGTCTTGATAATTTCTTCTGCAGATTGACTCAATCGTTGCCGGGCAGCCTCTCCCCTCAGTCCTTGAAGATATGAGAGGAGGGCAGCATTGTATTCCGTAGGTACGCGCTCCGGCTCGAGAATGTGCTTGAACAACTGAGTTTCGCGGTTCTTCTGGAATTTCCATGCGGCCCGGTTCTGATGGTAGAGGCCCAGGTATTGGAGAATGGGCGATTCGTAGATATTGGACGGGTCCGGGGGTGCTTGGTCTTGCGCTTCTTGCTGCCTCTTCTTGTCCCTCTTTTCCTTCATTCTCTTTCGCTTTTCTTCCGCGCCGGGCTTTTCCTCCGTTTGCGCATCTTCATTGTCACCATTGGACGCAGCATCTTCGCTTTCCTTCTTGTCCTCATCATCACTACCATCCTCATCCTTGGTCTCTGCAGAAAAAGAGACCTTCTTTTCCTTCTTCTGCTTCTTTTTCTTTGAAGATTCCTCGTCGGCCCCAGCGGATTCTCCCTTTTCCTCGGTCTCTTCCAATCGCCTCTTCTTTTTCTTCTCCTTTTTGTCTTCCTTCTCCGATTTCTTCACCGGCTCCTCTGCTACTTCCATATTCTTGTCATTTTGTTGCTCCGGAGTCTCTTTGGCATATTTGAGCTTGAGACCCAGTTTCTTCCACGCTGGAACGTGTGTTTCGCTCGCCATTGGTCGTTCGTAAACAGTATCTGTAGTTCTTATATTAGATTGAAAATGAAGTATAATGTTTCACTCAAATATCGCCGAAATTTCTGGCGCGTTGAATGGACGTGGTCGGGAAATGTTCCGTCGGGATAAATTTGATAGCTTTGAAAAATTTCCACGTGAGCTTATCAGCGGGTCTGATAGCGATAGCGGACTTTGTATGGCCATGCTCCGGAGTGTATTATTCAATTGGTTTTGAGCATACAAGTATTTCACGTTTTTTATCCGTTAATTCTCCTTATTCTACCATTGGGTCTTTTTGTATGTATACGAGCACGGTCTGCATTATCTCGTGTCCAGCATCTGAGAGGAATCCGCGCTCTATACTGCTTGCCCGGTACTTTTATAGACCCCCGCAATTGCACCCTCTGCAACACAGTATAGGACCAGACTATTGAAAATCACGCGGTCCAATTTCCAGACGATGGCGGTCAAGTGACAGAGTTACAAATATGCCCCGAGTCGGACTTGGTAACCTAGGATACGATGTTGTTGATCAAATGTCGGGCACCGCTCCATTTGGCTCGTAGCTTGATACCCATGTTCGTCTTCTGCAGTGTTCTGCAGTTTACCCAGCGTAAAGAACCGACTCGCAGTACCTATAGAACGAGTCATTTTGATGCCCAATATCTGTGGTAATCCTATGATCTGCCAATGAGAAGCTTGGTTATAGTCACGTGATAAACCCACGTGATATAATCGCCAAAGAGGGGCCCTTCCTCTTTTGGAAGCCCCACGACTGAGTGGCCGGGCCGGAAAAACACATGACACCGCGACGTGCGCCCGAAACCCCCAGTTTGTTGACAAAGACGGACAGCCCATTGTTTTGGATCGGCCTGAAGAGGAATTCCTCAGAAACCGTTCCTTCCACTCACGTCATTCCTATTTTATTTATTTTTTATGTTTTTTTTTTTCGCTCGTTCTTCTTCGCGCTTTAGGATTCTTCCCTTTTCTTCCCGCGACGTCACCGTTATTTTCTTCGCAGAAGCGGAAGTTTGACCCCACGCTTCCCCTATCGGTGCTTGTTAACCACCTACCTCCCTTGCAGAAAGCATTGGACTGCTACAACGCTACCGCGTACGGAAGAAATAGCAGAGGATTGGCGCATTTCTGGTTTATAGAGAGACTGGCATATCTACCGTCCCCAGCATGAGTCGTTTATTGACAGATCGGCAAGCCGACGAGCTGTGCGTATATCTACGTGTTGTTGTGAATTAACCGGGCTGGGCTGACTTGCTTCTTAGACATAAATCGATCATAGCGTACCTCTCCGCGAATAATCTACCGAACACCGCCGCAGCGCTTAGAGACGAATTAAATCTGCCGGAAGATGTGTTTGACGCAGCTACGGTGAAGAAATACGAAACATTGCTGGAGAAGAAATGGACAAGTATTGTTCGCTTACAGAAAAAGGCATGTTCACATTATAGAGCTCTGTCCATTTATTTCCACTCCAGCGATGTCTAATCAGCGTTCCGTGCGCAGATCCTGGACCTTGAGTCTCAGAAAGCGGCCCTGCAATCCGAGATTGACAACGCGACACCTGCCTCCCTCGTTAAGCGCACCCAAGACCCGACGTCTTGGCTTCCTACGCAATCCCCCCGATATTCGCTGGAATCGCACCGGAACACCATCAACTGCGTTGCTTTCCACCCAGTATTTTCCTCTATCGCATCCGGTTCTGACGATTGCATGATTAAGATCTGGGATTGGGAACTTGGAGAATTGGAGCGGACACTCAAAGGTCACACAAGGGCGGTCCTGGATGTCGACTACGGCGGTCCGCGAGGCGGTGTTATTCTGGCATCTTGCAGTTCCGACCTGTCTATTAGGCTATGGGACCCGTCAAACGAGTATCAGAATATCCGAACATTGGAAGGCCATGACCACAGCGTTAGCGCCGTCCGTTTTATACCATCCACGAACTTGCTTGTCAGCGCAAGCAGAGACCACGACTTGAGGATATGGGACGTCTCCACTGGTTACTGTGTGAAGACAATACAAGGCCACAACGGCTGGGTACGAGATGTCTGTCCGTCACCCGACGGGAATTTCCTTTTCTCAACTGGCGATGACATGACTGCTCGGCTATGGGATATTTCTGTTATGTCAAACCCGGAGAACAAGCTGGTTATGTTTGGCCACGAGCACGTCATTGAATGTTGTACATTGGCTCCTCATACCGCGTATCAATACCTTGCGCCCCTGGCGGGAATGAAGGATCACTCGTCCTCCAAGAGCACCGCAGAATTCATGGCGACTGGATCGCGTGACAAGACGATTAAACTTTGGGACTCACGCGGGAATTGCATCAAGACCCTAGTAGGACATGACAACTGGGTACGGGCAATTGGATTCCATCCTGGTGGCAAATATCTCCTCTCCGTGTCAGACGACAGGTCACTGCGATGCTGGGACTTAAGCCAAGAAGGGCGGTGCGTGAAGACGCTTGCGGAGGCCCACGAACGTTTCATCACATGTCTGAGATGGGCACCAGGCATCGTCAAGGATCCTGCTGCCAACGCTACGGCGAATGACAAGAACGCGAAGAACAAGGCAAACTTCCCCGACGTGCAAGTCCGCTGCGTTATCGCCACGGGCGGCGTGGATTGGAAGTTGAAAATCTTTGCAAACTGAGCGACGCAGTAGATACGATTCTGGGCCAAAAGCGAAAACAACAAAAAAGACATATTTCGAAAATTGGACGCACACGCAGACGCGGCTACTCTTGTAGACCGTAGGGGACGTTATGCATGCAGCTGAATTACGATGTCACAATGGAATCAACTACCATTGTCATGGGCTCTGAACCTGAACTCTCATCCACCATTACGACTCGCGTCACTATCTTCGATAAAGCACTCCAATCGATTGCTATAGCAGGGGATCATGCCCACCGTCGTCCCGACCCCGACCGTTTCATTGCGAAAACACGCAGCCCTACGGCTTATACTAAGGGAAGCAGGACAAACAAATGAGAAGGCCACTTTGGCCAGGCAGGAATAGCAGTGATGGACTTGATGATATGGAAATGAGTGCAGGCAGGCCCTCCCTCATGACTTATGAATTAATGGGTAGATACGCCTTTTTCCTATGCTGTCTGTTGTCCTTTCAGCCAGGAGTTTGGGCTCGATTCATGGTTATCGAGGATTTGTTTTGTGTTGTATGCATTGCATTAGGGATGGTATTAGCATCTATTTTGTTAATTGAAGGTGAATAATTATTATGCCATGTTATCCGTCATGAAAAGATTCATATAATTCATATTTTGAAAGCTCATAATTTATGTACGTGCGTATCCTCAAAATTATGCAGGCGCACCCTCCCCACCGGCTGTACTAGCCCCAGCACTCCTACCACCATTACCATTACCAGCAGCAGCAGCATTAGCAGCCGCCGCCCTGCGTCTCGACCTCTCCTTCTCCTTCTCTTTCTCTCTCGAACTCGATGTCGGAACACGTCTCCTCCTAACCGGTTCATAAACATCATTAAAGTTCATCACGACACCCAAAAATCGCATATCAACATCCGGCTGATACGCAAGGTCACCAAGGAGAATGTTCAGCCTTGAGCGGAACTCCGCGCTTAAGTCTGTAAGTCTCCCCCGCAGAGAGGGTAGCATGTGGTCGTCCGACCCCGTGTCGGGGTTGTTATTGTCAGCTGTGGAGCGACGGGAAGAAAAGATCGAGTCATGTTCGGAAACGCCCCAGCGGCCCTGAGCAGTACGGTTCTCGATTTTCGCGCTAAGTTCCTGTCGACGGGTGAATTCCGCCACGGAGAAAGAGTACAGGCCGTCGACGACGTCTTTGTAGGCGAGCATGATTTTGAGGATTGAGTGGAGTTGCGTAAGGAAGCCCTCCTCTTTTCCTGTTGAGGGGTCCTTCTTGAGTGATGATGTTGAGCCTAAGAGGCCCTTGTGTGTGATTGAATTGAGGTAATTGGTGTGTGCTTCGATGAGGTCGTCGAGTGTGCATCCGGGCTTGGATATCGCGGTCTGCAGTTGGTCCCAGCTTGCCTCGATGACTTCAAAGAGGATGTAGTATTGTAGTTGGTTGACGAAGTGGATCATTTCTGCCATTGCGCAGCGCGCGCGTTTCCAGTCGGCCCCGACTTTGTCGTCTACGGCGCCGAGGACCCCGCGTGCGCCGGTCATGCAACGGCGCCAGATGCTCCCGAGTGCGAACTCGACGCGCTTCACGCGCCAGAGGAAGTTGAAGACTTTGAGGTATTGCGTTGAGCCCCAGGGGGTGATGACGACGTCAACGGGGGCGTCGATTTTGTATTCGAGGGTGAAGCAGTCCCAGCCGATTTCGCCGTGGCTGAGCTCGAGCATGCGGGCGTCGAGGCGGCGGAGGACGTCAGGGGAGTCGTACTGGGCGTTTGAGGCGCGGATGGCATGTTCGAGTTGCGCGGTTAGGTTATGGCGGTATTGGGAGTTTGCTGGGCGGTCGAGGTTGGAGGCTAGAGATTCCATGAGGAGGGCGATGAAGTCGCCTTGGCCTAAGAGGAGGTATTTCTTGAGAGCGTGGAGGTGGTCAAAAAGTTTGAATTTCTCGTCCATGAGGCGGATTAGACGCGCCATGGTTGTTTTGTAGGCTTCGTCGATGGAGGTCTCGAGACTGGCTGTGTCGCCGTAACGCAGCTCTTTGGAGGTTTCTTTTGAATATGCCTCGACCCAGCCTGAGTCGCCGCAGCCGTAGCGAATGAAATTTAGGGACTTTCCAATTAGGAAGACCTTTTTGGCGAATTCCTGCGTGATGATTGATGGCACCATGCTGTCGTCCAGTTTGTACTTGTCCTCCCAGACGCTGGTTGCAATGCGTCTCGGATCCGTGCTTGGTCGGAACTCTGGCTCCACGACAAGGAACTCCTGGAATGGATCTGATAACTCACCATCGTAGATCCAGTGCCGGAGCATCTCATAGAATGGACGCGTGATGTGTGCCAATAATTTCTCCGCAAAGGCACAGACGAACGGGTCACCATGTGATGTCGAAAAACCGTGGATCAAAGATATTAATTGACCACCCTTTTTGCCTACAGCATGTTAGCCCATACGTTATACAGTCATATTTAAAGAGAACTTACTCTGAGCTTCCTCGACAATCAAGCTCATTAACCGCAAAGCCATTGTGGCATCCCTCGTCCAAACCACACATCGTTTCAGAGTCACCCCTCCCTTGAGCACACTTCTAGATTCGCTGTCATCGGTATTGCTAGGAATGAATAGTACTCGACGGATTTCGCCTTCCAACGTTGCTACCAAGCCCAGGTATGACCGAAGTTCCTGAGAAAGAGCAGCACGTAGACTCTGGCTTACCAAGCCCCCATCCGAGCTATCCACAAAGCTCGACAGACCTCTGTACAACAAGCACGGCTCAGCCAGGGAATTGAGCAGTGATACCATGGGAATCGGTAGTGTTTGAGGTAATTTCAAGGTAGACGATGACGAGAACTCAAGATTCGAAGACGACAAACCCTGCAAATTGTACGGCAGGTCCCTCAGCAGTCCCTGCTCCGGCGGTTTCACAAGTTTCTGCCGCTCTTCCGTCGATGGCTGCAAGACGGGCCTCTGCTCCTCCATCGGGGACTCTCTCGGCCCTGTATTCGCACGAGAACGAGCCGGCCGCGGTTGTGGCTGCGGCTCCCTTACCTTCTCATACTCGTCACCATCACGCTCATGCTCCTGCCTTCGCAATGAACCATGTCTCTCTAGCCTCGTCGACGGCACCGGCGCCCTCTGCGACGCAGAAGAGCTAACCGCCGGTCCCTCCTCATCCGAATGATGTCTCCCCCTCTGCAGCATACTCTGCAAATTCCCCTCCTCCATCAGAGGACTTCGATTCCCTTCCTCCTCCATCCCCAACATCTCCTCATTCACAGGCTCCTCGTCCCCGGACAATTGATACAGAAGAAACAGAATCGCCCATTTTTGCGACAACACTGGCTGCGTCAACAACCGCGAGTAAAGGTTCGAAAACCTGACCGCCTTATCGGGACTCGCATTCTCCCTCAACAACTTCCGCTTAATCAAATCAGACGCGTTATTTATGTTCTCCCCCGCAAGACTGCCCCGGCGATGGATCCCATATCCCGTGGGGCCGATAGGCGAATTCAGATCGTTGTTGGTGGGTGTTGTTGTATGCGCGTCGACGACGTGCCATGCTCGTTGGAGATTTTCGTGGTGGCGGCGTTCTTCGGCGGCGGCGAGGAGGTCTTCAGGGTCCTGGGAGTAGGATGCTTCGGGGGAAAGGTCGGAGAGGTTTAGAGGGGGTGTTAGGGAGTCAATTAATTGGGAGAGGGCGTCGTCGATGCGCCGTGGGCGGGCTGGATGTCGGGAGGACATTGTCGCAGTGATTTTCCCACTCGAATTGGGCTCGTTGATATAAAGTTATAGTAAGGTCGTGACTTGTAAGCACGTGCACAGGCTGTGCAGATTGATCTCAGCTATCTAAGCAATTGAATCTGGAGTATCTCAGTGAGAGTAGGCGGAGAACGACGTTCACCCGGATCTCTTGCGTGGAAACAAATCGCGAATTGGTCTATCGAAAGGGAGCATCTCGTCCCACACCCTTTACAATAATATTAGTGATCTCGAATACACAAGCCTTGATCGAGTCGTCAATGACCGCGTTCTGCAGGGACGTGTTGGTCGTCTGTGTGCGGAACGGGATGTTTGTGGTGTTTGTTTTTAAAAGTGCCAAGTCTTTTTGAGGCTTATCGCTTATCGCCGAGATCTATACAAAGACACATAGTATGAAGTCGAAAGTCAATCGAAGAGTACTAGTAATGGTATTGGACAAGTCGATAATATAGAAAACAGACATTAAACCACCATTGTACGCCACCCGAAAACACATAAAGTAAAAAATAAGCACGGAATCAGTGCCCTGCGAATATTGAACAGGCGAACGGAATTCCCAAAGCCAGGGGAAGCAAAGAAAAGGGAAAAAGAGAAAGTACACAATACTACATCGCCCTGGTCTCATGTGAGTCACGGCCAATGCCGCTCAAGGCCAAAGGCTCAAAGAAAAGAAAGCCAGAAGAAAGAAAAAACACCACATAAAGCAAGAAAAAGCAACCTGAAGTTTGTACGCCGGATTTACACGCCATTCGGTGACTTGCATCCGTGTCACCTCGACTGATTTCAGCCCGTTCACTTTTGAAAGTTCGTATACATCATTAACACCTGTCCATGCCAAATAGGTCCCGTGAAAGAAAAAGCTCGCAGCCGAAAATAAAGAAGCCTGAGAAAAGAAGGCAAGGAATACCTAACCCCGGGGTAAGAAAGATAGCCGCCCTGTCGGCTGATGCGCGCTGAGAAGCAAATAGCTGGATTCAGAAGGATGGGAAAAGGATTATCGAAAGCGGCCCAGGCATCATTTGACCGCCATCAAGCGCTGATTATATATTACCGTCGAATGCTCTGAGGCATCGGCGCGCCGGGTGGCATGCCCATGTTGTTGGGGATATTATATGGATGCGGTTCGTATCCAGATGATATGCCGTTCATCATGAGAGGGCCAATGCCTTGTGCTTGCGAGACAGGGCAGTCCTTGTGAGCCAACAGGAGAGTCTTGAGGTTGACAATTTCCTCGCGCAGTTGGGTAACAGTGGCAGTAAGGGCGTCATTCTCAGTGGTGAAAAGTTCAACCTTGTTCTGGAGGTTGGCTAACCATTGCTTCTTTCGCTGTCGGCATTTGAGAGCCGCAACTCTTAAAGATGGCTAGTTAGCAAACTAAATCGCGACAGTAAAAAAAAATAACACCTGGATCTTACCGGTTACGTTCAAGGAAGTTGCGTCGCTTCTCTTCATCAGTCATCTTCTTGGGATCCATCTGACCTCTGGGTTTCTCATCGTCTTCATCGGATTCATCCGACAGAGGCTCCAGGCTAGCACTGGCCTTGGGCTTCTTGTTAGGACCCTTGGCCGGCGAGTCTTCCGCTTTCCGCCGGTTGCCGGCTGCATTCGAAGCCCGCGTGTTCGCACCCTTCTTACCCTTGCCTCTGGTAGCTGGTTTGGTCGGCTCACTCTGTAGATCAGATGCGTCGCTCATCTCACGACCATTGTTCGCGGCAGCGCCATTCGCATGCTGCGACGCTCGTCGGGTGTTCGGACCCGCGTCGCGTTGGTCGTTCTGCATAGTTTGTGGGGGTATTGAAGGCTGATTCGTGGGTTGGAACTGATTCTGCTGGCCTCCTTTAGCCAGCATGAAGAGTCCGTTGGCCGCGTCAGCCGCATCGTGGTGCGTGAATGGATCAACCACGGCGGGCTGAGAGTTCTCCTTGACATCCATGGCCGTCGTTTGGGTTTCTTGCTGGGGCTCGGTTGTTGGGTTGGAGGTAGGTGCGTTGATTCCGTTCTTCTTGGCGGCGTTGAGGGCAGTGCGATGGAACTCGATGGTCGAGGGAGTAGCGCCACCACTCTGCAATTGCTGGAAGATGGCTTGAGAATTGGGACTTGGGGCGGGGAACATGGAGCCGCCACCACCGGGGGTCAGACCGGTACGCAGAGACGATTCGTTAGGAGTAGGAAAGCCTCTGCCAATATTATCAAAGTAATCGTTCGAAGGAGTCGGACCCGCGAGCATGGCAGGACTCAAGGGACCAGAACGCAATGAGTTAGTCCAATTATAGCCGCTGGTCGAACCGGTGGTGGGCAAGGCTGGGGAGGTAAGAGCGGCGACGGGAGGAAGCAACGACTTGCCGGGGGTCTCATTGGATGCACCGGCACCTCCAGCACCGCCGTTATTACCGCTGAAAGATTGCTCGAACGGGTTGGGTTCGAGCGAGAAGGGGTTGTGAACCGAGTTGAAGTAGTCGGGAGTGTCTGTAGCCGTTGGTCGAGGGGGGGGCGCCAATGAGTTTTGCGATTCTACATCTGGCTTCTGATCTTTGCTGTCTGAGGATTGCGCTCTGGAGTCTGAAGGCCAGTCAGTAAGGAAGCTACAAGGTAGTTGGTGAGGCAACAACAGTAGAGATGACGAGATAGTGGTTCAATCGCGTTGTTGTTTCGCGACATGGTGGGTAGAGGAGTACAAAACAGCAGTCAGCCGTCGATGCCGTCAGATGTGAGGTCATCCCGAGAAGGATGAACACATGGTCCGACACCGTGGCGGACGACCAGCAGCAAGATATATAAGAAGGGGAGAATGTCTTTCAAGTGGCAATGCAAGATAATCGACCTCGACTCACCTTCCGGTTTCAAAACGTCGTTTTTCGAGTCCATGGGGGAATTACTAGTGTCGGCTAAGCTGGTCGAAACTGTCGGGGCGACAGCAGCAGACATGATGCGCTGTAACAAAGTCGCGATACCGTAGAGAAAAGTACTTTAGAATCGTAGAGATATTCGAGGGCCGCAGGCGACCCCAACGGGAAAGCGAGTGGACAGGGTGGCAATGGAACAAGAAGTACCGCGCTGTAATAAAAAAAAATAAAAAAAAAATAAAATAAAAAAAACAAAAAAGGGACAATAAAAATCAGTCGAACCAAGCGCGTGTTTTTTTAGTATTGGAGTATGTTTAGTGGTGGTGGAGGATGATGATGGCAGATGATGATGCTAGAGGAGCCGGTGATGAAAGACGAGCGAAGATGATTTCACACAGAAAACGGGCAATAGAGCGAAAAAGTGTGAAGGAGAGAGAAAGAAGAATTGAAAGTGACGTAGTCGGGTTGGACCAGGAGGACGTATTAAATTTAGGGGGGGCCTCCCGAAAGAGGAGGCGGTCGGAGGTCGTGAGCTAAGCAGGTTTGTCGTATTTTTGGTATTTCTGGTATTTCTGGTTTTTTCTGGTCACGCTGTAACCCTGGTTTTTTGTCTGAGGAACCATGCGAATCTATTCATCTTCTCCTATGGTTCTGAGAATTCCTTTTGTTGTGGCTATACTACTTTCCTCGATCCTTGACTACTGACCACCGTACGGAAAACTTCCGGCAAAATACATGCTCTTATAATCAGAGGCAAAGAAAATTCCTTACACGCGAACCTGGAGACTGTGGGCCTCGGTAGTACCTGGCAGCCAATTATGACTAGTCTGACATGGAACGATGGTGGGGACTGGCCCGGTAACCCAATCAGCAGCCAATAGTCTTTTCCTGGTCGAAATTCGTGATCCACGGTCGAACCACAGCTGTCTTCTGTAACATGGTCTAAAATGAAAAGAAAGATAGCATAATTTCCCTCTATTCCCTCTATAATCGATACATGGTCCCCTATACACAGACTCAATACTTGGCTGATAACAAAGACGAAGAAATGCAAAATATGCGCAAGAGGGGGGGCAGGATGAGGTCACGGTGACGACGGCAGGAATTTTGCCGGGTGTCGGACCAGCCGGGTGGCCATGGACCCACTATATTCAACCACTCACAATCCGGTATCCAACCCAACCACCTGAGGTGTCAGTGTACACTGCTACTATGGCCATTCACTGTGCTGTATTATGGTCAATGCTTGAGACTATCCTCTGTCTATATAAGAGTTATCTTTAGGAGAATCCTCACCACCCACAGGATCACTATGGACTGTGTATTCCCCTGGTAGCACGGTATATTTTCTGCCATGGTAATACATACAACTTGCCTTGATTGGATGTAGGTGATGACGCAATTCCATGCTACCCGTGGATGTGTGTCACGTGTTATGCATATCTTCAGGATTTGGTTGGCTGGTCGCCACCGCTGCAAGTCTGGATTCTTAGGAGAATATTCGGATAACGGCTGGTGGAGGAACGGAATGCTGGATATCTGGAGAATGCATAACCGGAGTGCTGTGAATAAGTTGATATCTGGGCACGATGAACGCGTATCAAGCTCAGACAATTCCTTGGATCTTCGCATGACTCGATGCAAGGAACATGGATTCATCGCTGGATCCTGGGCTTGATATTGCTCAGAATGTAATTGTAAACATGACCTATTCATGCGAGTTATATCAATCTCCAGACCGCCGGGACAGGTACGATACTTGAATACGTCAACCACAAGTACCGCACTGCGCGACTAAACATTGTCCAGAACGATTTGAATCATATATTGAGTATCGCAAAGTAAACAGTACTGCTGTTATGTATTGTCAATACTTCATTCCATGGTATCTATCTACGACCCCCGATAAGTTGAATAACTCCAAGGCCCCAACAACACCGGAACATGATAATGCCTCCATCCCCCCTCCCCCTCCATCCCCCGTCCCTTGACCACAAATTTCACCTCCACCTCCGGCCAGAAGCTCTCCAGGCCCTGTGCCGCATACCAAGGCCCCGTCTCAAACCGCACAGACCAACTGGTCTTGCTGTCATCGGCCGGTAGGGCGGCGAGGAACTCGGGGACGCTCGTCGATCCGGTGGACGATGCGGATGTCCAGCGCTTGACTCGTCCGTCCGCGTCAGTGGTTGCGTAGTATGTAAGGATGGGTTTGTAGCTGTTGCTGCTGGTGGCGGAATTTGAAAGTAGGCTTAGGGTCACGGGGAGGTTGGCAGCGGGTGTGCCTGTCAAGGTGTTGAGGGCGTGACAGGTTATGGGATCGCGAGCCATTGTGCGTAGTCTGAGGGGTGGGTGTGTTGTCGGCGGAGGTGCTGTCGTTGTTGCTGGAGGTTGACCGTGGCCTAGTTGGTTTTGATAGAGCGCGAGACGCTCCGTGGTTCTATTCACTCGGTCACTAGGTGGAGGAGGTGGCTTGTTTAAGTCCATCAAGTAGGACAAGATGATGAAGAAAGATAAAGAACGGATAAGGGGAAGACGAGCTAGATAAGGATTGTAAAGAAGGTGAAAAGATACGGTGGTCTGCAGAGGAATCTACCACTGGCTGACCACCTGTCATGCAGTCTGTCTCATCGGAGGACACCGACATCCATACTGTGGTATCTTTTAGCGGGGTACTTCTGCATCTTGGCTGTAGTGTTTCATTAATCTAGATCAGTGGAAGTCTATAACAGAGCTTGATACAGGTGTAAAGCTATCCAGTACAGAGTACTCTGTATATTATCGGGCATACTACGTGGATCATTAAAGTGATATATTTGAGTGATCATAGCTGCCGATTATCTGGCAGCCTCAGGCATAAGTCTCCGTACGTTGCGCCCGTTAGTTTATGCTGTCATCCACCGTCAGACGTCTAACTGCTTTATCCCAAAAGTGCTTTAGAACATTTTGCTGCTTGAATATTCGCACCCTGCCTTTTCTTGGTGTAGCCTAGCGTGTTGCTTGCACTTCCGGAATCTTCGACCACCGCAGATCAAAAGAAAAAGTTGCCTGCGGGGAACTATTGCCTACACCAAAGCAGCTACGTGGTAACCACTTTACACCTACTACCACTTCCTCCCAATCTACTCGCATTTTGAAAGACGAACTCTGCAAACCAATCACCATGTCATCCGCTGTCGTGCAAAACGATGACCTTAACATGGAGCCCACCCTCCAGCCGCTTCTCGACCAAAAAACCCTCCGCTGGGTATTCGTCGGTGGTAAAGGTGGTGTCGGAAAGACGACAACTTCCTGTTCTCTCGCGATCCAGCTCGCCAAAGCCCGCAAGTCCGTTCTGCTCATCTCGACCGACCCCGCGCACAACCTGAGTGATGCCTTTGGTCAAAAGTTTGGCAAGGAGGCCCGGCTTGTCGATGGATTTGACAACCTCAGTGCTATGGAGATTGACCCCAATGGGAGTCTGCAGGATTTGTTGGCCAATGGGGAGCAGCAGGGTGATGACCCCATGGCTGGATTCGGTGTTGGGAATATGATGCAGGATTTAGCTTTCAGTGTATGTTTCGTTGCTTTTGGAGATATTGACGTGCGTGTTTTGCTAACTGATTTTAGATCCCTGGCGTCGATGAAGCCATGTCGTTCGCAGAAGTCCTGAAGCAAGTCAAGTCCCTCTCCTATGAGGTTATTGTCTTCGATACCGCCCCAACCGGTCACACCCTCCGATTCCTCCAATTCCCCACCGTGCTCGAAAAGGCCCTGGGCAAGCTCTCGCAGCTGTCGTCGCAGTTTGGTCCGATGTTGAACTCGATTCTCGGGGCCCGTGGTGGCCTCCCCGGAGGACAGAACATGGATGAACTCATGGGCAAGATGGAATCTCTGCGGGAAACAATTGGCGAGGTCAACACCCAGTTCAAGAACCCTGATCTGACCACCTTCGTTTGCGTCTGCATTGCCGAATTCTTGTCTCTCTATGAAACTGAGCGTATGATCCAAGAATTGACGAGCTACGGCATCGACACGCATTCCATTGTCGTCAACCAATTGTTGTTCCCCAAGAAAGAGAACGACTGCGAGCAATGCAATGCTCGGAGAAAGATGCAGCAGAAGTACCTCGAGCAGATCGAGGACCTCTACGAGGACTTCAACGTCGTTCGCATGCCGTTGTTAGTCGAGGAAGTTCGAGGAAAGGAGAAGCTGGAAAAGTAAGTTTTCCTCGTGGTTCGACTTGATTGTGTTGACTAACTGTTCCACAGCTTCAGCGAATTGCTCACGCACCCGTACGCTCCTCCGCAGTAAACGATATCTCTCGGAATAACTGCGATCTAAGACGTTGAATATACTATTATTTTGGGATGAGTTATGAAGAGAAGAGAATATAATACATGAAGCGTTGCTGATACCTAATGCTCTTATTTTGGTTCTTTCTTATTACCGCTGATTCTTGCCATAATATTATCGTGTAGAAATACCATCGGCACTTGCTTTACTTTCTTATCATTGTCAGGCCTGCATACCAGAGGATCACTCTTGACGCCGCAGTTT